AATACATTTTCCCACCCTACAGGCATGTGCCTAATATCTGTCTGCACAAGACCATTCGTTTAAATCACTCCATATGCACGCAAGAAAGTGTGATCATAAGAAAAATGATTACAAATCTGCATTTCAAACAGGAACTCCAAATTCTCTGCTTCGCCAAGCCACGTGCTAACATTTTGCAATTTCAAATTACAGCATGTCGTAATTTGAAAAATATGACTGCAGTAAAATAACTCAAGCTCCACTTTTGGCTCATGGCAAAAAGTAACATCCACTCCAAGTGCAACAATATTGGCGACCGTATTAAATGATATACCTGACTGAGACGCACACACACAAACCCACACACACACACGCGTCAGCCCGCCCGCACGCACGCACAACAGCGTCGCATCGTCTACGATGAATAAACAAAGGGGCACTTGTCAAACGGGACAATTGTGACAAACTGTATACATCGGTGGTGCATCTGTATTCTCGGGTGAAAATGAACAGCAAGGAGCATCCCCAAGCCAGGCCAGTGAGCATTTTCCCCTCTGCTCACCCTGCCCATCAGACTGCCAGCCTGACCAACCAAGAGCATGTCCCACCCCCACCCCCCACCCACGCGCCCCCTGAGATCCCCCAGGGGTCCCGCACGGATTTATTCTGAACCCAAATGGAAAGTCAGAGACATGAAATATGGTGGCGAGTGGAGTGACAGTGATAAAGTGGCCCAACCTTAAATTAATCTGGCCGAGTTGAGAGCTGTCAGGGGCAGGGAGACTATAACTAATGTCATGAGTTGTGTGCCCCCCACCCACCCACCCCCTGCTGTACCTCCCCGCAACCTTCCCCCGCCTCCCCCAAACACCACACGTGCACAGTTTCTAGACACACGTTTCTGGAAACGGCTCTCTCTCTAATTTCCCCGGCACGGTGTTTCGATGCCACCCGACCAAACGGAAAGCGAGCGCTGGCCATCAAACCGGGCCGCTGTCATTATAATCTGGCTCCTTCTTGATTTGAAGCCTTCGTGACTGCAGGAATCCATACCCTTTGGTTCTTTCGGTAAAGTCACGGAGGTATAATCTGGCTCCTCTGCACATCTCCATCAAGCGGCAACACCAACAACAATAATCTCACCACCAACTACAGACAGCTCCACTTCAAAGCAGAAACTGTTAATACAACATAAACACACACACACACAGCCCGTGACCCACGCGTGCATTTGGAAAATGAGGATTTTATACACGGAAAAAAGCAAACAATCCTGATTGCCCTCTTCAGAAAATGTCTCGGTTCATTCACTGACTGGAGCGACACCCAGCACACCTTCGCACGCAGCACACGCGATTGGCTGCTTACTGACCCCGGTTGGTCCCACGATTTACTCAATCAGAGGCATCGCAGCGACGCCGTTGTTTTGATGATTTACACCCAGAGTCTGCTTTCTACATAATTGTTTAAGCCCTCTCACGCAGCACAGCCGTCTTCTAAGGCCACGGTGACAATGGGCATGCCATTCTCTGCGGTCTTGCATGCGAGGAAGATCTTAAATATCAAGTTAAAGACACATAGTTCTTAGTTTAAATTCAGTTCACAGAGCTCTATATTATATAGGAAGAGGGAGAGTTTTATATATATATTGTGTGTCTCCCCCGTGTCTCCGTCCAGAATATGTAGACTCGGTTTGAAAGGATCAGTAAAAAAAGAAACAGGTTAGCTGCCATGGCATATAGGTATACTTTCATCAAACGCATTGATTTGTGCTGGCAGTGATACTTAGCTTTGTGTCTAGAAGGCTGCACGGGAAGTTGCACTGCCAGCATTTGCACGTGTGCAGCATCTCAGGCTTGGGGAACGCGGACACTGAGGTGCACACTGCCGCTCCGGCGACACGAATTAGCAGGCACGCCGGGGACTCGGCAATGCGCGTGGGTATTTAAACGCGTCGCATTCATCCGCAATGTAATTGTGCCAGGACATTACTGGGGCGGCACAACCCTGAATTTGAGTTATCTGTGGGCAAAACGAGTCAAGTTTGCCACCGTGGAGCTTGCTCCATAACGCTCATTTGCATTGCAGCAAGAGGAAGAAATCATGTCACGCGTGTAAAGCAAGACGCTGGCATGGCCACAATTGCGCTCGTGTGTGCGTGTGTTTGCGAACAAACGCATACCACATGCATTCGCGAAGGGACGCAGGGCATTGATGTACACGTGGGTATGGCTCAGAGAGCCCACACGTGTGCACCATTATCCAAAGAGAAAATAAATAGATCAAGGACGAGCTACATCGATTCTCATCGGCTCGATGTTTTTTTTTTATTTTACCCCATGGAGACAGAAGAAGAAAAAGGCTAGTAATGTTATGTTGGTTAAGCGAATGCATAGATTCTGAGAATTGAAAGACGAACTGTATTTAGCTCACAAGAACTGCCTTCCCCAACTCTTAAAAAAGCTGAAATGTTTATGGTCTACAATGTTCATGATTCTTGCTAGTAAATCCTGAATATAGGTTTTGGGTAGTTGAGTATAACAGTACTCCTATGTCAATATAAATGACTAACTTCCACCAAACACATACAGTTATGACATTGACATTGAAAGACTCTCAATGGAAGCAATGACTTAGTGTTTTTTTCTTAATCAGATATATTTTAATGAACCTTACGCATGTATATATTTATACTTACAAGCCAAGTTGCAATGGGAATCTTTCCAGAATCAGTCTCGACACAAGATTAAATGGTCAGCCAACTTGTACCTCAACCAACATGCTGTTTTTTTGGCAATTTCACTCTGGTACCGTTAGAAGAAAAAAAATATTTATATATATATAATTAAAATGTAACCCCCTCCATTGTGCCGTATCATGTTTTTGTATCAACGTTCGTACTCTTTGCTAATTTCCACTTTTTTAATTTCCTCGTACAAATCTGTCATTCCAGTATTCCCAAGCGCTGCATATGTTTTAAACATTCATGGGTTAACGTTACCAAATCTGAGCTGACAGCGTAAGTTCAAAAGTTATTAACGGGGAGAAATCTGGCTTCCGTAACTGGCAGCAACACTCGAAACGTACGCCAGATCATCGCGGTTTGGGGAATTTGAGCAGAGGAAAATGCTGACATTTCTTTGATTTGGTCCGAGCACAATTGACAACCCATTTTAAACCTATAAAGAATTACTGTGTGCGCGCACATGAGCGGCGGTCAAAACATTTTAACAAAGCATATTTAAAAGCGTGCACAAACTTTTAACTTCCTACGGTACTCTTCAATACAATATCAATTTCGTTTAAGAAGGCCCGGTGCTTAATATATTCCATAAACAGTGCAGACAGGCCTTACAAAACAAGCTCAACATCAGGTCGGCAATGTTTTTTTTTTAGCATCTCATTCTCACCGCCCGCTCATGTTTCGTGTTTATAGCGACGTGCAGAACACAGTTACACGTGTAGACGAATACAGTGCACTTTTTAAGGCTCAGATGCAGTTAAATTAAAACAAAAAACATCTGGTACACGGCTCCATCTTCACCTTTAGTCAGATCATAATGCCTACGCTTCGTGCCGTGCTTTTGCCGGCACCGTCGATGATTGAAAAATGCTCCCATATCACATCTGGCGCCACGAACGCTGCCGCACTATTACGCCAAGATTTATGTTTCAACTGCACCAGATTAAATCATGTTTATGATGTGCCGGGGAGGGACACCATATGTACCGCCAGGGCTGAGGCTTTTGTGAGCACAAGAAACTCACTTGTTTCCCATCTGTGACAAGATCTGTTGCCAGGTTTCCAGGCTGTTGGGTGGTGTCTCATGTGGTTGGTAGATGATGCCACCATGAAATATCCACAAAATTCAATAAGCTGAGCATGCAATGTATATTGCCTTCTGAATAAATGATAAGATGCAAACTTGCCTCGTTAATTTATTATTGTTGAAGTACAACTTTGACAACAGATTACAAAGTAAGACAATACAAATATAAATATTTTAATATATTCTAGCCCAAGCGCCATTAGGTACAACGATCCAAAATTGCATTAAATTATATTCATGTTAAGCCTTTAAGAAAATTCCAACATCTAACCTTCTTTGAAGTTATTCTATAAAGACCAGTGCCAAGAAAAAAAAAACCTTTCATAAAAGTTAATTTAATAAAATAGTTTAACCCATCTGGACCTGCTTGAAGTAAAATCTGGACCTGGCAGAAGTAACATGGGGACTTTGTTCGCAGTCTCACACGAAACGTGCTGCCTCTGAACTTAACACCTCAGGTATTAATATGGAAAATCAGATTAGAAAAGAATATTACAAGATTATCTTTGATTTTTATTGATAAATCACAACTTTGCGCCATTTCCAAGGTGCCTGGAATGGATCGCGGAATATAGCCCTTTTCCAAATGTAATGCCGGGCCCAAAACAACGAATCTCTTTCTTGTCATTTCAAATTAGATGGAAATGTATGCAAGCAGTCGTATCTTTTTTTCGCGCTAACAATGGCTGATTGCCGTATGTATTCTGCCAGCCCCATGGGCTAACGAATGAGGTCAGACAGCTCTCGCAGCGAGCGGCTGAGGCAGCGCTACGGCGAGGCGTTCCGTCCGCATACATCTGGATCCATCATTATCGCAGCCTCTCAGCGGGGACCAAGCTACATCAAGCCCTTGCGCTTTCCTCCCCTCGAGCCTGTATCCATCATTTTCATCCTCCCACAGCAGGACACGCGTCGAGCGGCCGCGGCAGCGCGGACCTGAGCTGGACATGTTTATTACCTGCGCGCGTACGCACTGGCTGGGCTGGCTGGCTGGCTGGCTGCACGACTCCGCAATCGGCGGTGCTCACCGCTTGACGCCGAAATGCGCACGCGATGCATCGTGTTGGCAACGGGTGGAGGAGAGCGACCAATTGCGAATATGCGATGCTGCGACCCACCTCGGCCGCTATCTTTCCACGGTGTGGTGGTGTTGTTGTTGTTGTTGCTTCGTTTGTTAATTAGACACGTTGCTTAAAATAAGTTGTTATTAATACATACGAATTGTTATATTTGCGTGTGTGTGTGTGTGGACATTTTCCCTCCGCCAGCACTGTCTGATAAGGTTTAAGGTGCTGAAACGTGAGAGGTTGGAGTATATTATTCCATAAAAATTCAAAACATGAAAACCAGTACATCATTTATCAATATATAACAGGAAAAGACGTCACTATCTCGGCAGCACGGCAAGATTAACTGTGCAGAGGGGTTAAGCTTGAAGCCGTCACAGACCCAGAAACGAAAGAGACAATGCTGCGGGTTCATTTCGGCTGCGACAAAGTGAACAGAGGTCGCTTTATTTGGAGTGTGGTTCTACGACTGTCAAATGCTTCGCTTGGTGTGCTCATCCCCGGAGACCCCGCAGTCTCTCAGCGCCCGAGTAAACGGGCCGCGTTCAACCGTCAAATACGTTCAACCTTGGAGCAATCTGAGACTCACGCCTGGAGAACTGCACTGTCAGTGCCGTGTTACGGCTGGTGTATTCCCCGTCCACTGAGTGCATTGCAAATTTAACACGCGTGCAATATTTAACATGTCTAAAGACTTCTCTTTTTTTTTCTTCTCTCTCTCGCGATGTTTCCCCTGGGTCATTTGACTCCTCGTGCAAACTTTGCTCAAGTGCCCACGTGCGCGCGCGCGCTTACAATATTGAACCAACAAATCTTTGTTACACTCGAGCGAACGTAAGACGATTGTGCTCAAGAATTCTGTATAGTTGATTCTACGATACCTGACCCGTCGGAAAAAAAGCCTGACAATTTAAGATTCAAGGTGTCAACATAAAAAAAAATAAGAAAGAAAAAAGTTCAAACGCTGTTTTTTTCTCATTTTAATGATTGCGCAAAGGATGTTCTAATCTATCGATCTAATAATTAGGACAAGCTTTGAAACCCCATTTGTTTGCACTCCCCTAGTACACGTAAGGTTTAATATATAAAATACACAAATGACGTGCTTACTCAAACTGTGGTGCATGCACATACAGAATGTAAAATGGGGCCGAATTAACGCTCCCAGGTTTAGCAAGGGCTGGTGTTGAAAAGGTCAGAAGTGTCGAGAGGCCCAGCAATGCTTCTTAAACAATGATTGAAGTAGGTGCATCACAAAAGAAAAACCTTCCTGACATAACATTGGGAACGCTTGAGTTTCCTCCACGGTAAAAGGGCACTCACAAAACCCCTTGACGGTACTCGCATGATCGTGGGCCGAGACAGCCACCGAGGATTAAGAGATGGGATTATCAGCAACTGCCGTTAATTTCATTCGAGATTTGAAGTTTTTCGTGACTACAAGGATCCATATGCCGTTAATTTCACAAGCTGTAACACTTGCACTGTATTTTGGAACACGGATTATACGAAAAAATATGGATAGTTGACCATACAATTACAATAGATGTGGGTAAATGGTATGGACTGTAAATGTACGATGAAGAGAACATCCCATCACAATTATACCGTTATCTTCCACTGCACAGTTTCTAAGACCAACGCGTAATGCTTTCACAACGGATCCATGATCAAAACGCATTTTTTAACAAGTATATGATATTGTAAGGAAAACCGATTGTAATTACTGTACCATACATATTTTTAAGCTTATCAAAATAAATGCCCTAAAATTTGATTTTAAGGAAAATAAACTGACACAAATTGGACACCAAACTTTAGCACTGAAACAATATAAAAAATATATTCTCACAAAGCACTTGCATTTGTCCTGTAATTTTAATCATGGGCAAGGTGGTCACAATATTTATACGATGTTGAACTTTTCATCCACATAACCATCATTCATGAATTTACAGAAGCACAGCAAACGACATGGCACATGCATCACAAATAATCTGAGGTAGTTAATCCCAAAAATAAAAATTGCTATCGCTAACATTTTTTTTAAAGAAAACTGAAACAAAACAATAAATTATAGTGCAATAGTTCGTCCCTAAAGAGGCATGCGGCAAAAATTATACGCAGTGTGCAACGTGGAATTTACTGCACTGGAACACAAGTTGCATTGAAGGCACATACTGCCATTCACACCGCGAGCAACTCCCAGGGGTAGCTGTTTGCATGTTGGATTTAATGCGAAAACAACAAAAACACAAGTATAGGCAGCTATGATGTCAAACTCTATACAGGGGTGGTTGCCTTACAAACCTGTTACTGATTAAGTGTGCATAAAAGACAATAGTTTTTCAAGGCATCATTTATTATGGCTGTCCTCAATTTGGACAGACACGTACACAGATCCAAAATGTGCTTTCTCTATTTCCTTTTCCTCGACGTACATCAGAAGATGTACAAGTAGTAGCAAAAAAATTATGTAAAAAGACACTTAATTGAATATGCTCCATAAACATACCTCATTCCCATTGACAGCTATTATTATACTAACACCTTGTCAGACACAAGGTAAGGGCTAGCAACGTTCATTTGTTCAAATTTTTATACTATTTACAGTAAGAGAAAATATATTATATTTTTTTGCACATAGTAAATATACCAGCAGACATCACTTTACTTGTGTGTGCAAGCATAAATTAACAAAGGGCACCAAATGTTAGAAACTCCATTTCTCAAAATACACTCCTGCCACCTTTTTATACCCCAATGAGGAAAAAGGAAAATTCTATCTGTTTGATGAGCAATGGCATTGCTGCTCGAATAAATCGCTTAGTGCCATGCTTTGGTATAATTGTCAAAATATAAAGGAAGTCTGCTTGAAATGATACCAGGGAGGGAAAGAAAGAAGACTGTGTGTTTATTGGCTCACGGTTGTTTTTGCTATCGAGCAAGACGGCTTTTTATTTGCTGCCAAGGTATTAGCAAAGCAATCGGCCAGGGAAAAATAACAATAAAAAAACCTCTACATTTGTTTGCAAGGAAATAAAACGTGATAAATAAAAGCACTCTTCTTACTCATGCTACCATCAGTTTCTCCTGAGAATTGTGTCTCAAACGTTTGGCGCCCTAATTTCTACTGGCCCATCCATCAACTGTAGGACAAGGGAAATGAAGGTTAAATGCCTCTTGCAAAACCACCACGTTATTTTATTATTAATATTTAAAAAATTAGTGCAACTGCAATAATTCAGATAATACATAATGCTACATTTAAGTACGACATGAGTTACAATTTACGGGTCGCTGTTGTATCGCCACTGTGTTCCCATGTCACAAATAGTTCTAACAATTTTTGTTGCACGAGTTTTTAAACAGGTCAACTTGCTTCGTAAGAACGCTGGAGATCCACAGAAAACACTGAGTGTTATCGCAGGTACAAAGAAACTCAAGACACAAGATATAATTGTTTCTTTAGTGTCAATGTGAAGACATGAAATAAAAAACCTAAAATAAACCTAAAACAACTATGTTGCTTTTGCAAAGCAAAATGTGTTCATCTGTATGAAAAAAATTTATTTACAAAAATATTCTTTGGAATGAACAGAAAAGCAGTCTTGAGAAATAATTTACATTATCCATCAATGGTTTCATAAATATATAGTATATAAAAAAAAATCTAAATATATGCTCACATCCCACTTCCACAAAATCTCTTTAAATAGGCGCTATAATGGCTATTAAAGGGACACAATTGCCCTTGCAAACACTGTAACGTCACCGACAACACAATTAAGCAGAAGGCTGTCACTTCTTTTTAGATGTGGCCTATGCATACTTTGAGCATTGTGCATAATGAGAATAACACATAGAAGGAACTTTCGTACCAAAATTAAACAGCAGTTAAATTCACAATAAATAACCGTAAATTGTTTCTCTATTTTGTCATTTCAAAATTATTTACAAACACAACGGTAGAAAAAGCTTATTAACGAACGATGGCAATGGCACGCTCATTTTGTTTAGAGGATGCCCATTTGCATTAATCGATGTGTTTTTATATGCTGATAAGGCTCTCTTCTGGTAGTGTTGATCATCTAACACCGTGCGTGACAATATTAAATGGGCGTCGTGTTGTTCACACGACACTATTAACACGTGCTCATTTTTAGCAAGAAGAAACACATCTTAGCCGCACGCCTCGTGACGTAGACAACGGCCTTCGTTAGCGCGGAAGCTTTACACCTCAGCCGCTAGAAAATGTCGTTGACCACAGAAGACAGGTCCATGTTTCCCACGTCGTCGTTGTCTTGCTCTTGTCCCTCTGCGCTCTCGTGTTCACTACTCCCTGTCCTGTCGAGCGAACCTTCTGCAGTCGGCAGAGTGAACGGGTACGAGAGTCAGCGGTGAATAACAATAACATCCAAAACCAATTTTAAGCCTTTGTGATAAAAGCGACCCCCTTAATAAAAGGCAGCCGATGTTCATGATTTGTGCAGGAAATTGAATACTGTTATTAAAATAGAGTGGAGGCAAATGTTAGTTCAAAAAGGTAAGAGTCCTTCATAAGTCATCGTCAGTTAGTCTTCTCAGCTTTCTTGAGAATATTTGAAGCCCCTGAAGTAGATTATATACAATTTCTAATTCATATATAAAATGGGAATTACTGCAACACTGTTCATGTTATGAACGAGGTTCATATCATTGACGATAAAAGTGATTACAAACAATAATCAAAACTATAATAGCAATTACATTTTCAATTAGGTCAGTGTTCATAACTGCCAAATGTTCACAACAGCTTTTCAACATGTGTGCAAAGCAACAGAGCATCTAATCAAATGTAAACTATATTTTTTTAAATAAGGGAAATATATATTTCAAATAAACATCCACACTGCCTGGCTTACAATTGGCAGGCAAACCTCGATAACATCAATGATTAGCATGAAAGACATGTTTATATATAATTTCACCTGAGCATCAAAGCATTTGAAATTGTTACAAGGCAGTTAGGAAACCTGGAGCCCCCGCACCCCCACCCTTTAAAGCTTCCACTTTGCCCTGCATTGGACTGAGCCGATACAATCTGGGGGTAGACTTTATCATCACTGAACATACACGGTTTATTCTCCCTCGAAATTGTAACACGCCACTTAAAATAAACGGGAGGCCCAAAAAAAAACGACCTCGGTCAACAATGAAACTCACTTAACCTCATAAGAATATTACATTTCAATGAAACAACAGAGGCAGTGTACTTCAGGCAGATAAATGTATACATTTCATACTCGTGTTACAGTTTTTTAAGGCCAATTTTAAACTTTTTTTTTAAGCGGTAACATTGGCTAAAAATGCAACTTGTGTGTGCGACCACCCGCACATTTCTGGCACTGTACCATTAATCAGTTACCCTTCCAGTTTTATTTTATTTTACTTGAATGGGTACTGGGTGCTTGTAAAAAAAACAGCTATGCGCTCAACTCTCTGACTGACATTACTAGAATCAAGTCAGACCTGCTGCTCAATGCCACACGTGAATAAGTGAGAAACACACGGAAATACAAACACAGGACACTCGTATTATATTGACTTCTAGGCCCGACTGTTGCCCAATGGTTTATGGGCCGCATGTTAAGAAAACTCATCATAAAAGTTATCAACGCTAAAACATTTTCAGTGAGTTTTTGTGAGGGCAATTGAGATAGATTAAACTAAATAGCTAAATATGCTAAATCCCATTGCAAAAAAGTGTTATTTGAAGCCAAATCAAACTGGATTGAAAACCCTAATAGCAATGGAGTTTTCATTAAGTACTCACGTGAAATCTCGTGTGCCCTCTTTATGTGGATCTTCATGTTACCCTTCTGAGAGAAAGCCATGTCGCAGTACTGGCATTTGTAGGGCTTTTCTCCAGTGTGCTTCTTCATGTGGATTTGAAGAGCATTTGTCTGATTGAAAGCCTTATCGCACACCTGGCAAATGTACGGTCGTTCACCTGTGACGCATGTAAAAAAGAAAAGTTCATACTTCCAACACATTTTAAACAAGGTCATGCACATGCATCGCTTCGGCAATGCTTTCCAACGTGCGTTTGTCCTCGGAAGTATTTAATTCGCGCATGACGTGTGATATTACGAGATGATGTCGAAACAAAATGATGTCATCAGGAGGGGAGGTGGTGAACTCCTCCTCGGCCGTTACGAGGGAAACGCCACGTCGAATATTGCATCATCTTCTGGAGCGTTATGGTTCACCTCAATTTTAAACAGCGAAACAGGCAGACGGACAGAGCTATTGCGCTCATGGCGACGAGCTAAGCTGTCAAGTGTAAGCATCGTGTTTTTTTAACGTACGTTTGCAACCCACCTGTGTGAATACGGTTGTGCCTTTGCAGCTGGCTGGGTTTGGCGAATGACTTATCGCAGTGGTCACACTTGTAGAGGCGTGGCTTCTGCCGAGAGGCAGAGGATCCCGGCTCGTGTGTCTGCATGTGCTCCTGCCGAGGGGGACAACAACAAGGAAGTGTTTACACGCGCCACACTGCCAGGACACGTGACTGGAGTGTAATATCCCTGGGATGCGTTTTCAAGTTGTACCGCGAGTTATTCGGAATGATGCCCAATATTGATCCTCACGTGTTTCGGAGTTTCTCAAAAAAGCTCTGAGTGCGTGAAGAAAAACGTCAAGACATCATGCTGAACGATCTGAAAACACATCGGATAGCTGCTCATGCAATATCCTGCTTGACATTTGTTACTGGGCTCTAATCCACAACCTCGCCTGGTATACAGGAGGTTGTGGGTTCAATCCCGACCCTGACGCCTGTATATTTAGAGTTTGCATGTTCTTTTCGTGGTCGCGTGGATTTTTCTTTGAGTCCTCCGGTTTTTACCTCCATTTAAACACATCCGTTTAGATAATTATTTGGCTGCGATAAATTTGCACATAAGTCACTTTGTTATCATTTGTGGCCAGGTTGCTTCTGAAAAATAGCTATATACCTCAGTGGAGCCTTACCTGGTAAAATAAAACAAATGTTTAGTATTTTAAATAGTCCAAGCATCTGCTTGTGCCGTGCTTCAAAACACAAGTGGAACTCATGGTAGCTATGGCACTACCCACATCCCGGCCCTGTACCTTGAGGTGGGTGGCCCTCTTGAAGCTTTTGCTGCACAAAGGACAAGTGTGCAAGCGGTCCTCCCCATGCACCAACCGCAGGTGCTGACGCAAGAGCATTGGCGAGGTGCAGGGCTGGTGGCACTCAGGGCATACGATGGGTGGCTCCTCTTCGTCTTCCTCCTCCTCCTCCTCGATTGGGCTCTCGTCCGTCAGGCTCATGCAGCCCTCGCCCATCTGTGGAGATTGGAAACATCGAGGCCATCACATACTTGAATGCAATCAACGCGAAGGCTCGGAGATTCTGTGCACAAAAAGCGCTTGGTGCCTTTAAACATACAGATTGAGCTATGTACGGCGCTGCGAAAGAAGTTCAACATACATCATTTTAATGACAGATTCTGATACACGCGCAATTTGATACACACATCGATAATCTAACACTTTATACTAATCGATCAGCTGGTTAACTAGGAAGCGAACAAAAGCTGACGTACTCAGCGTCACATTGAATGCTTCACGAAATAAATCATAGAATTCAATCAGCGGTACGAATTTAGTTTGCAAGATCGTACCATTTTGTCAAATTAAAGTAATGCGGATGAGACAATTGTAGAGATAAATAAAAGTCACCTGGAAGGTGGTAACATCTCCGTCTGTGGTCCCACTTGTGTGGCTCACTAGAATCATCTGCTGGCTCGTTCCAGCCTCCTGGCCCGGGAGGTTTGGCTCACCCAAGACTGACGGAAACGGTTGCTCCTGTACATGCACAGAAGACATTAGACTCTGCTGCCATTATCGTATCGAGACAGGCCAAAGTATTTCCAGAGCCAGTATTCGTTTTTGACCAAAATGGAACAAGTGAATCATAGGAAAAGCATTCGTGCAATACAAATTATTATTCACAGCAAGATATCTACATACTTGCTGGTTCATGTGGAATAAAGGCTAACGTATAAGGATTCCTCACAATGCATACATGATATAAAATATACACTTTTGAATTATAAATGCATAAGAGATATTTGGGGGGCTATGGAGTAGAAGTTGCACAGAAACATAAATCGGCTTTATAAAGTCATACTTAAACAAAGGTCAAAAAGCAAGTCTCAGTAGAAGAAAACAAGTTGAGTGGTATATACAAGTTGAATTGCTTAAATTGTTCCAGCAGACAGGATGGCATGCAAAAGGATAAAGTCAATAAAGTTTCCAGTGAAATAAAGAAACGAGACGTGCCAGGGGTGTGCAAGCATGTGTACGAGGTCGGGACACAATTTGATAGATGCAGCATTGTTAGCATCAATAAATGGGCACAGCGAGCGTGTGGAGTAATAGAAGAAGGTTTCTGGAGTCACGGTACTCAAAAAAAAAAAATAGACGAGGCTGAGATTCAACGAAGAAACGTGAATTTAACAGGAGCCCAGTGTCAGGGCTGGAATACTCGGGAGACGATTTCAGAGAACTCCAGACACGTCCAATCGGAGTGCAGCCAAGAGAGTGAGGGAGGGGAGGAGGAGAGGGTCAGGGGTAAGGGTTTAGTCCTTTGCACCTTTATAAAGGCAGTCAAGGGTGACTACCAAATTAGTATTCTCTGCAGTAGAGGACAGCATGAGCATTATGAACACCTCTCCTGGACAATTAACCCTTTTGGGCACTGTTGTGTGGACTGGCAGGAGGAATTAAAATATCTCATGACTGGTTGTAGAAAAGTGCGAAAATGAAATTACTATGGCTGGAGAAGTAACTTCTTGGTGAGATGTTTTCTTATATTTAATTTGTTTACATATTAAGTCAAAATCCCCACCACCATAAAAAAGAGAGTGTTTGTGGTTTTCCCGGGCAACTAAGTAGCTGGTGATAAACAGGTAAACATGGCACAACCTTACACTATTAGATCTCTTTTACCAGTGGCAAAATATAGTAGTAGGTTTTTACCCTTTAAAACTAGTACAAAACTGACACCTTTATTCAAGGCATCATGTTTGCAATAACCACAACACAAGTAGTCAAAAAAGCAAACAAAAAGAAGCAACTCTGATAATGATAATAATATGCAATGTCCTTAAAGTTGATTGGTCCACACCCGAGACGGCTTTCTTTAGAGCCTAGTCCCCATTGGTGTTGGACCAGATGACACCAAAAGGCGTACAACTCAAACACAGTGCAATATCAGAGTATTGAGAGCTCGGGGTAAGCATTTACACTATTAGATCTCTTTTACCCCGAGCTCTCAATACTCTGATATTGCACTGTGTTTGAGTTGTACGCCTTTTGGTGTCATCTGGTCCAACACCAATGGGGACTAGGCTCTAAAGAAAGCCGTCTCGGGTGTGGACCAATCAACTTTAAGGACAGTGCATATTATTATCATTATCAGAGTTGCTTCTTTTTGTTTGCTTTTTTGACTACTTGTGTTGTGGTTATTGCAAACATGATGCCTTGAATAAAGGTGTCAGTTTTGTACTAGTTTTAAAGGGTAAAAACCTACTACTATGGCACAACCTTGTTTTTGCATTTTAAAACGAGCACAGTCCTTTAACAACTTGTTACCTAATGTTTATAGACAATTGTGATCGACTGATGTCAATTCTATTGATGTAATAAATGCACGAGAAATGTGACATTTGGCAAAAATGTAGTTTGTGGTTTTCACTGGAAATATCCAAAAAAAATATTTTTGCTCTTAAAAACCCTGCTCAAAATTAGAGGCAGACATCTGAGCGTCTTTTTTTTTACTGAGGCCCATGATGGTTTACTTTTGAAGATTTTCAATGGCGATGAATCCAAATATGATGGCAGATCTTAAAATCCAACAACAATGGCGCCAGGGTCAACATAAAGCAGTATATTGCTTGAAAAAACATTCTGCACTAAAAATGCTAAAATATATCAACTCCATCATCATCATCATCATCGTAAGCTCCGATTAGCACAATTGTGGCTACATAGTGCGCAAAAAAAGCTCAACATGCATACATCAGCAAACCGAGTAATTCGCCTCGTGCGGAGTGCGACGCCAACGCCAATAAAAAGCGAGCAAAGGCTGATGCCGGATAGTTGTTATATTCATTCATCACGCAGAGTCAGCCAAGGCACTAAACGTGTGACCTCTTGCGACAGCATTCGCATCAACTGGTCGAGTACAGTCTGTCCCGCTACAACGTGGTGGTAGTTGGGTTCCTGAAGAAAACCGTGTTATGTAAAAATTACATTATAATAAATAATATAGGGGGTAAAGCACAGTCCGCGATAACACGTGAGATGCGTATGCAGGCTGAACAAAGACTGAGGCGCGTGGGTAGCATCTAGAAGCATCTAGAAGCATCCAGCAGCATCCCATCTTGTGCGACGATGACGCTACGCCAAGGCAGCCGTACAACTGCTTATTCCTACTTGTGCGACGTAGTTCCATTCACTCAATCACGTTATATCCAATTCGTATCTGCGTTATTAAAAAAATGTGTTCCCCGATACATTCATCGCGTTATATCCACTCCGTTATGAAAACTACGTGGCGTTACAGGAGAACAGACTGATTTGTTTGATCCACGTCTCGAGGTGGGGGGGGACAACCACGGAGGGTGGTGTCATTCCTTTGAGGGTCGCGGGAGACTTCGAACATCGACCGACAACCCAAGTTGCGCAATTTGCTGCAGGAGTTTACGCATAAAAGATGGGCCGACGTGTCCACAAAGTGACAGCCGTTCTCACTCGAAACGAAACTCTCAATCGCTAGGAGACTGTTTGCAGATGCAGCGGTGAAATATCTGACCAAGTCCGAACCATCGGATGTATAATAATTTATGTTCCGGTGGGGTAGCTACGAGGCCGCGCGTTCCCTCCACCCAGCTCCCACCTGAGATGTGATGTTAAGCGTGACAGATTCCATGCCATGGGGGACCATTGTCTGGGCCTCGGCGATGGTGAGGGTCACGGTCTCGCCGCTGACCTCGGCCCCGGACATCGCGCTCATGGGTAACGTCAAGCTGCCCTGTGACAGGCTTGGCTCGCTAGTTGTTAGGCCTGTATGGGAGAATATGAAATAATTAAATGCAACAAACGGTTCATGGTCAAACCACAACCGTCATCGGTGCAAGCGGTGAATACACGCAACGCGTTTTTACGTACCGTTTCGTATATGTTGTCTCCAGGAAGGCAGATATTAATACTTCTATATATAGAATTCATGGTGTTTACAAATGCACTACTCATCAATGTTTTATTTGTATGCTTCAGCATAGTCTATAATACTCCAATGATGTCATTTGTGTGCCTTAAAAGTCCTTGTTTATGTAACTCCATTATTATTTCATTCAGGTAGTAGACACAAACATTACAAATACATTTTGCGGCATATATATATGTATTTTAAATACAGTCATGGGAAAAAATATAATTTATTCGAAAATACAATTTCTGCACACAGTATTTATACTTTCACATCACCGTACACAGCAAATTGACGATATTTAAGTGTAAATGTTTGAACAGAAATAAGTCGAACCTGTGTCAGCATGGCTTCCATCGGCATTATTCTGTTGCTGCAGCAGCTCTTGTCCTGGAATTTAATAATTTGATAAATTATTTCGCTGGAAAAGTGTGCTCGTTATTTATTAGCTCCATAAATTTCAGACCAGTAGTCACTTTGAACACGTAGTTCTGTACCATTATTATGAGACTTGGTGTACTTGTGACCTGACTTTTAAGAGTAAAATTACAACTAAGCAAAATTCATGTGAACTCACTCACCTGATATAGTAAGAGTAATGGACTGAGGTGTTGAAGTGGATGAGAGCGTCTGGTTGGCCAAGGTTAATGTAATCTCATGTTGACCGGAGCTGGAAGTCATTAAAGGCTGGGAAGAGATGACCTGAGATAGCTCTTGGGAACCTGCATGAGGACATTTTTTTTTAAACAAAAATACAAGGTATGCAAGAAAACAAATGTTAAGCCCTTGTATAAAAAAAATTAAATAATTATGTATAAATACCAAGAGGCTTTGTCGAGATGTAATGACAAATCGATGCATCAATTAAAGTCTATTCATTCGGGTAAGGAACGATTAGTTTGATTTGTATATTTTGTAAGTAATTTGTTGGTGTGACTCCTGCAACCAATGCAGGTGATATATGTATCTGTAAAAATAAAATGGTTAATAGAGGTGGCTTGGTAAGAGTGCTCAGCTGACACCCCTGAGGTCCTGGGTTCGATTCCAGGGAGTCACCCAATATAAACTGGCTTCTGAAGTGCAGTGAATTGGTGGCCTTAGACCGTTCACCAATGACTGCACAAAATAACCCATCATATAAAATGTGGTTTCGCACTTAATTTTCCGATATTCCGGCTCTGAAAATTAAAAACATCAGTTTGACTGTCATGCGACGAAGTGCTCTTCAGCAGGGTGTGTAGGGAATCTACTGCCTTCTTTATGTGATCTCAGAAGCTGTTCTGTGATATATATATATTCTTGTGGATGCTTCCCCAGCATTGGGGCGGAGGTCACACTCCTGCATGAGTTCCAAATGTATTTTATTTCTCATGACGTGATGCTGACGTCACACGCAGGATTCAATTGGGAACAAACAAAACGTGAAAAAAAAAAAATCTCACGATTCTTGAATCGAATCGCAAACGAGAATCGTGACAATTCATCCAATCGCGAGGCATCGTCGATACTGCTGCTGCATTGTCAGCGGAGCCGAAATGAAAAAAAAAATCTAAAATCAAATCTGCAAAGCCGATTACCCACCTCCATGGCTGGCAGTGGTCAGCACAGAGGCCTGTTGGCACAGCGACCCCAGGGTGACCGCTCCCGAATTGGACACCGAGCACATGGGCTGCAGCACCACGCTTGCGGCAGACACCGCTCCGTCCACCGGCTGGAGCATCATGCCGCTGGTGGACGAAGCCGGCTGAAGCACCATGTTGGGTACGAGGGAGCCGTCGCTGTGGTGCAGCAGGATGCTCTGGGTCAAGCCCGCCGACGACACGGACACCCCGCCCCCACCGCCTGCCGCCGCGTCTGCCGCCTGCTGCAGTGTGATACCCGGGGCCATAGTGCCGTCTGCTTGCTGAAGGCCGCCGGATTGCTGCACCAGCGTGGCTGCTGGGTCACTTGAAAGATGTTGCTGAAGCAAGCTGTTCTGTTGCAGGGTGTGCTGAAGTAGGCTGGGATCAATCTGATGATGCAGATTACCCAAGGGAATAATAAAGGTACACACATAAGCAAATACAATTAAATGTATTTATTTATACACACACGCACACAAAAAACCCCATCAAAACAAAAATAAATTACCGACTAATACAATATGGAAATGTACCAGAATAAAGCATTTGTTGTTAATAAACATGCGAGCAGACAATTTACTATTGTACGGTGTTATTTTTAATTACCTGCAATGTGATGTTATTGATGGTGTTTGGGTCCAAGCCTGAAATCTGCACATTCTGTGCCACCAGATTTGCAGCGCTGAGCTGGAGCTGTATCCCCTCGAGAGACTGCAGTGTGGCCAGTCCAGAGTCTGACAGCGACACCGTGAAGTCTCCTCCTGTAAAGCCAAAGCATTTAAGCAATCTGACCAACTCACCATTCATACAACAAATGCATCAACGTCCTCTCATCACAACAACCCACAAATCACCCAGAGCAAATTGAGCCGCTTCGTTGAGCTATCAATTGTGTGGCCAGTTCGCTTCAGTAAAAGTGCTGTATAGCTCAGCAGGCCTTACCAGGTAAAATAAAAAAAAAAGATGAAATTCCACACGTTAACTTTCTTACGCGTTTAAAGGGCTCCGCAAAATAAAATACAGCTTTACACTTGTATAACTTACATTAAAAACTGCCTTCTCGAAATAAAAGCAGCTTTGACTTACCAGAGATTGAGGCTGGAAGAAGGGCTTGGCCAACGATACCGCTCGACTGCAGCACACTGGGCTCAAACTGCGCTGTGAGCACACCGCCATTAGTAATAAAGACGCTGTGATCCCCGGGTGGGGAGAGCATGCTGACGGGCTGAAGGCTCTCAGAATTCTGTCGCTGAGAAGGTCCTTTGCGTGGCCTCTGTTTCCCACCACCGCTGCAAGCACAGAAGATCAAATTGTCTCCACTGGGATCTAAGCGAATAATTATTACAGCTGTATTACTAAGAAACTGTCAATATTCCTAAATGGCCAATGCACTTAATTTGCTGTCCAAATCTTACATTTGGGAATGAATATATATGTCACGGTGATTTGTAATTTTCAACATTCATGAAGGGAGAGACCGTATGTTCACCTGATGCCGATAACCACCCCCGAGGGCTTGAAGTGAGACTGGATGTGGCTCTTGCGATGGCCCGAGGTGCGGAATCGCTGCTCACAGTGCGGGCACTTGAAGGGCTTGGCCCCAGTGTGAAGCCGCATGTGCACCTTAAGGCTGCCCTTGGTGGAGAACGGGGAATTGCAAATGTGGCATTTGAAGTGCTTCTGGCCTGGAGTGAAGAAAGACGAAAGCAAACAAGCTTTACTGCCATATACATTGGTCGCAAAGGCTTACCCAAAGCTGATATTTCTGAAACGCATTCAAATAATTTACCAAGAAATAAGGAATTTCTGCATTACACTACCTCTGAGCAGGGCGAACTAAATGTGTTTCATCTTGTATAAAAGCACTCTAGTGGCAGTTAAGGAAAAATCGTAGCATGCTTTTTCAAGTGATTTGCAGAACACTGTCAACTTTTATCAACGCCTGGACAGAAAGCCATCCAGTGTCTGCTTACTCTCTCCTAAGGGAGCACTTAACGCTGTACAGGTATATCTGTATTCATGTCCAACTTGAATTCCAATGGGTTTGAAATCTGCCATTTTAGATTTGAAGCAATATGTAAAATGACAGCAGACACAGAAAAGAGAAAAGGGAAAAAAACACTAACGACAATTTTATTCCATCTTTGCGCATTTTAAATACCAGTGCGATCTAGCAAATGAAACTAGAAACATTACATTTTTTTTATTAGCCATATACCTTGCTGCACATCAGACAACATGACGCATATAACTGTTAACTTCTTTGCCTGAACTGCTTTATTTGTTTTGAGGCAATCACTTTTTCATTTGTGACCATTTCTGCGATTAACTGACTGTTTCCACGATTAACACGTTTTAGGATCCCACTATACAAATCCCATGGCTGATTTGGTTTTAATTCCATCATTAATCTTGTTTTAATTTATTCTAGATCAAAGGTAATTTCTGCTCCAATGTGTACCCTACTACAAGCAAGACAAGTTTTCTCAATTACTGAAGTGGAAATTAATAAGAAAAGAAAAGCACACTTTGTCAAAGAGACATATAATTGCATGCAAAGCATTAAAGTAAAATATCTGTCTCTCTGATGTATATGTATGATGCTTAATTGCTAAGTTATGAAAAAAAGTAAATCTTTATATACCCCCTAACTGAATACTTGCCTAATAAGAGCCATCTTCCTACGCAGCCAATTTACAATTCATTTAGGATTTTTCCGAATGAAAACATTTACACTAAAACAACCAATCATTTTTTATTCTCACACAATGTAAACGTGTTTATTTTTCTGTTTGACTGGCATAATTTGAATGATCATTCAAGTTGCAGCATATCATTTTCTAGTTGAGTTACATGAAACAGTGACATAATGAGAAAGCAACCGCACAGTTTAAAAATAAAAATACGCCTTTAGCCCTACATTTCTGCTGTTATTACATATAAAATTTAAACACTTAATAGGTACATCTCAATTAACTTTTAATATATTATTAATTAAGAAGGAACATCTGTCATCACAGGAACACTTATAACCACGATAGGAATACAGATAATGACATGCAGTGCTGTTATATTGCTTACAATTCCTACCTGTGTGGGTTTTCACATGACAGTCCAACGTTGACTTCACAGTGAAAGATTTTCCACATTCGTCACATTTGTATGGCTTCTCACCCGTGTGTATTCTCAGATGCCTGTGCCAAGAAAACACAATTCAAGGTATTACTTATAGTATCATCACAGGTTCACATAAACTATTTGCCTGATAGCACAAAACGTACATAAAATATAGACCTTTCGAAAACGCATGTCTCACATCTGTGATTAAAATAACTGCGAATACGTATGAACATTAACATTACTAAGAGGAAGAAACCTTGCATCACACGCCTCTGATAAGGCCTTCAATCAATTATGAAATGTTGGCCCATCGGCTGAAGATGATGATCCATTTTTATTGAAATAAGCTGAAACTTAATGGATTATACTTTTTGTATTTTCATATTGGAACCAGTTAAAACGAGACGCAAAGAAAACCCAATAAATCACCGCCGATGGGTGCCAGCACATTCGCTCTATCTGCTAGCACCACGATGGAAGGGAAGTAGCAGGAACAGGAATGGGGTCCGATGGTGGCGAGTGTTACCTGACGAGGTCACTGGGCTTCTTGAAGCTCTTGGGGCAAAAGCTGCACTTGTTGGGGTGTCGCGGCTCGTCGTCCAGCTCCTCCTGGCGGTCCTTCATCTCGCTGACGCGGTCGCGCTCGGCCGCCGACTGCACTAGCAACTTCTCGGAGACGGAGGCGGCCTCCGCGGGGCCCGACTGGGCCAGCACGGCCGTCTCTTCCTGGGACAGCGTGAGGATGCCAGGCCGCGAGCGCCGCGCCGCCGCCATGCGGTCCGCCTCCCCCTCCTCGCCTTCGTCGTCTGCAGTGGAAATTCAGTCAGCGTCGTTCGTTTCATTTGCAGTCGTAGTCTCGTCATCGTCAGTCTAGTCATCGGCGCACATCCAGGGTTTAATATGGTCTCAAATTGCACACAGTAGTTATCTTAATTTGGCTGACTCAAGCAGGCAAAGATTTAATCAAACACGCTATCAAATGTTGGTGTACAATGTAATCCCCCCCACACCTTTATATTATCAGGTCAGCCAATCAGTGGAATCTGTAAATCTCTTTATAAATGATTTTAGTCAAATACCACATGACGGGTATTGCAGCATCTAAAAATATTAATGATCTTAGCCCGTGTCTTCATTCGGATGAGTTCAATTTGTCTCGTCAGTCATGCTTAAAAAGGAAGTTTTGGTGGATAGTCGTAGTAATCGTCACACTTGATGATTTTCACTTATTCTTAATCGTCATTGACGAAGATAAAAACACACACACTTAATTGATGGACATTTACCGTCACTAATTACGTGAACAAAATTAACACCGGTCATCTGAGCACGGACGACGCCCGAGACAACAGCGCCACGATTTAAGAAAAAAACAAATATGGCCGTTTTAAAAATTTATGCCTTTCCTTAATTAAGATATAAATTTCGAGTGGTCACCTCTGCATTGACTCGCAATCTACATAATTTATCATTACAACATAATCTTTAGTCATGCACACAAAAACACTTTACAACTGATGTAGGCATATAAGTCATTAGGATAGCAATTGTTTCATTTAGAATGACCAATCTTCTGGCACGGCAATATATTACTTTTGCTTTTTAAAGGGTACACCGGCGCACCGAAGCATCTCGAAGCACAGCGGTTGAAAATGCCATGAATTAAACTTTCCATGCAAGTCTAAACAAATGCACTCGGCAAAGTGCATCCAACTAATGCATCACAGGCGAGGTTGTGCATCGAGTCCTTGAAAAAATATTTCCAGCGCATAGGGGAAGACTTTAACGAGCAGCAACAACAAAAAGGTAGGGGAAGCGTTGAGGTAATATCGTGACGAACCTGCGTCGGCATCACCGTGCTCCTGGTGAGTGCGCATGTGCTTCCTGCAGTGGAGGGAAGTGCGGAAACTCTCCTCGCAGAACGGACACTTAAAGGGATGCATGCTGGTGTGCATCACCATGTGCCGTGTTAGGCTGCCATTTGTGGTAAATGTGGCGTCGCACAGGTCACACTTGTACGCCTTCTCCCCTGCCAACAAAAAAAAACACCTTCGCTAAAATATTTATTCGCCACTTTATTGAATGTCGTTTTGGCTGCGAGCTTTGTATGTATAAATGGCTTCAAGACTTTTCCAACGATTCGAGTTTAATACGAATGTAAATGTCAGAAATGTGCTTCGCAATCTTTGTTACGTATTAAGCATTCTTTTTATTTGTCCGTGGATAGCATTATCCAAATAAATGAAAAGCCAAATTTATACCAGTTATGCATGTTCATCAGGCAAGCCCTAAAGTCAATGTATTTAATAAATGAACCTACATTTTTTTTACTTAAAACTGCATTTGACAAGTGTTTTATCAATTAATTATAACACCAAAATAAAGTTTATTCACCCAATTTATGTAATGAGAAGTAAATTTTTTACTTTCCTATCAGGAATAACCGTTTAATTTCAAAAGCATAATTGGATGTTGCATAGAAGCTATTGAAACTGGTCACCTGCTGGTGCTTTTAATGTGTTCTTTCCATACAAATCTGCAGTTTCACCACTTGTGAATCCCCTATATGCTCTGTGTGCCTCATAGGTAATTTCCACAAAGTACATGGTGGTAAGTACTGCATTAGTTAGAGTTAATTAGTGTTACACTTAGAGAGAGTAATCTGAGATCTGGGGTTTATAGTTACAAGCAAATCTAATCAGCACAATTACACACTGCGAGGGGGTCTGGCTTAAATAACCCTTTATGGAGAGCACAGGCTCGAGAGAGCCTGCATATCTGAGATATGTGCAGTTATGCTGCTGACAGATTCAAACAGTCATGCCTCTAACATGTAACCGCACAAGGAAAATTACAACAGTGTACTTGTGATTTGCATCAGAGGACAGGCAGCAAAACGCATGACGTACCTAAGCTGACCGGCATTTTAAAAGGCCTCCTTTTTTAGGCCACACAGTCCACAGACTGAAACCCCTAGGTGGCATCAGCAGAATAAATTTTCGTCTTAGAATTTTCAAACATGTCATATTTTGAACATATTTCTTATTTAATAAAATGTGTTATCTTCACAAGCAAAAATACAAGAGGCAGAAATATTATGGTTTTTTTTGTTTTGGCTGCAAGATTGATTTAGTGCATATAATTGAATTTTCTAACAAATAATACGTAGCAAAAAAAAAACCTGCACTTAAGGAACACTTGCATGTAAGCATTTCTGAAATGACAATTAACCGAATTGAAAAAATACAATATCAATAATTAATCAAAAAAAGCTGACGCATCTCGAATATGAAATTAGCAAGTTTGGTGCTTTGAAATGTTTTAAAGGAGATCACAGTGCTCAGCGTGACGCATAGCCTCCAGAAAGTGCACGCACATTCAGAGACGCGCGCTGAACCAGACAGCTGGTGTAGCACGCCCGAGATACACAATTACACCCCAGTGCGTCCCTGTTTTGTGCAGCTGCTGAACCAGTTTCATTATTTCTCCGCTCCCCAATGAAAATATAGGTTGCACTGTTTAGCCAATCTTCGGAATATCCTGAATTGCAGTGCGACGCTTACCTGTGTGTGTACGCATGTGCGCCTTTAGCACCCCAGAGGACACAAAGCCCCTTCCACATTGCGCACACTTGAAGGGTTTCTCTCCTGTGTGGGATCGCACATGTTGCTTCAAATGGCTCGACTTCTTGAAGCCTTTATTGCAATATCCACATCTGGACCAAACATAGCCTCTGATCAATAAACACATTCCTTCATAACAAATTACAAAGGTGTAGGCAATAATCATCAGCCTTGATTAATCCCCTGCTGGAGGAAGGCCTCCAAAAGACGTCGCCATCTCAAAGTCTTGCTATGCAACGATCCACTTAGCACATCGTGCACACGAGCTGATTTCATCACTCCGTTTCAAAAATGGATGTCCTCACGGGCACACGGAAGGCAATTAGTAGAAATTAAACACCTTTAAAAAAAACACTTTTTACATTAAATTCCATTTTATATTTGTTCACGTAATATCAGAGAACAAAAAAGAACGCTCAAAAAGATCATTTAATTTTTTTTTACGCAGTAGTTTACTTACATCAATAACGCTTTTCGAAAAGAATAAAGTCAAGACTAGTCACCGGTAGGAGCGGCGTGTGGATTCCTCTCCGTCGGACTGATATTCAGATTGCTCTGCAGACAGCTGCACTTCATGCTGGGAAGCCTCCTGCAGGGACTGCAACAACAAAACAGTTTAGCTTTTATTTCTTGCGCAATATTAGGTGCATTAACCCCCCCAACCACCCAAAAAAAACCTCCAGCATTTTAAAAAGTTTTATATATATATATATGTATCCCCCAATTATATCCCAACTGTGCTATCAGCACCTTGTCATGAGATGACATCCATCGGCGTCAAGTCATGCAAAACTTTCACGAAGCATTGCAACCTTTCGAGTTAGAGAACAGTTGACGGAATTGGACATCGCAGACATCCTTTCAAATGACCTCTGGTCTACACAGCAGAAGGCATGCATGTTTCGCCTGCTCTGTATATGGGAGTAATGTTTGTCACACAATAGTCAAGCCAATATTTTTATTCCCGTAGCTTGAATTTTTGCCAAATTAAGTTTAGAACCAAATTTAATGTGATGCCATTTTTTGTGCAGCTATTGGAGACCATCAGCTCACTGTATTTGAGAACCTGGTTTTGAACCCAGCATCTCAGCTGTGCCAGCACAGTACTACGACCTCTGCGCCACCTGACCACCTAAAATAAAATCTGGCATATCACGATTTCATCGATTTGTCAATCCACTGCTGTATGAAGGCTTCCACAAGCCATGTCAATCATGGGGTTTGTTTGACCATACTTCATCAAGTTGGTCAGTGTGCATTGGTGAAACAGTGGGGGGGAGTGGGGGGAGATTGGCCTCAAAAGACCTGTTCAGATATTCACTGCCAATGACGTTAGCTATGGCTTGGAATCAAACTCAGGTGCCCGGGTTCATAGCAGAATGTGCTAACCACTGCTCCACTCATGTTACAAGTACAACATAAAAAATCTATTCTGAATGGTAATTAAATGGAAATAAATAAATGCAGACCACCCAAAGCTTGGACTCAACGTAACGTCTAATTCCAGACAGTCATATTCGTGGCAGAATTACACTTAATTAATACGCCATTTTGCGTACAATTTTCTTTTAATCCGAAATCAAGTCTCAGGGGAGCGGTGGTGGAATTTGCAAATGACTTGGATAGCATTGTAAGTGTGCACGTACCGTCAGCATCTCTTGCGAGTGATAGGTCGTCGTTAAAGGCTGGCTCTCGAGAGTGCTGGAAGCTTGCAGTTGCTGCACAGCTGTGAACTGGCCCTGCTGGCCAAAGCTCTCCGTGATTGTAAATCCTGCGATACAGCCACGGGAGGATGAGGTTAAAAACCTATTTTGAATGCTCTATTTGCTCTGCTTCTGCAACACATGACGTGATATACATTTCATTATTTATAGTACCCTCACATGCCTCTATCTTGCTATTAAAAAATATTCTAATGAGATGCCATTTAACATGCTCATTGCTGACATTTGCAGACACTTAACATGCCCATTAAACCTACAGACTAAAAATACTTGTTTTCTCAAAGCTCTTGTGGCTAGATTGGCACTACCTACACTTGTTTTAATTACAGGTAGCAAGTCTCCCACTGTCAATTATTAAGCATCATGGACTGCAAATGTATTACTATTTCAGTGTTCATTAACGGTTTTCAACAGCAGATGTTTTTTGATGGAAAACAATTTGTCATTCCATGGGGAAAATTACCGTAGGGTTGAACTCTTACTTTAAAAATATATTTTACTTCAGCACTGTGCAACAAAGCAAGTCTGCTTCTCATGCCAGAAGTTATGCCTTGGAGACTTTCACTTACCCTGAGTAAGCGCTTGCTGTTCGTAAGTCTGCTGGCTGAGAGTCTGTTGCTCAAACTGATCCATATTTGCCTGCAGCCCATGTTGTGATGTTACAAATTCTTCCTGAGACAAAGCTGGTAGAAAAGGGACACAACACCAACACGCTCACGATAAACTTCACAGTATTTACTGCAGATGTCACAATACACGCTATTCATTTGGCAGAGAAGTAAATTATATGTGCATAGCAGTCACCGTTCTTCACGCGACTTACATGTCCCTTGCACGAGCTGCTGCTCGGTCAGCTGTTGTGTTTGTTCCAATCCGATCAACGTTTGCTGCTGAGCAGACTGTTGCGGAGCCAACCCGAGCAGTGCTTGCTGGTCAGAAGGCTGCTGCTGACCCAATCCCAGCATGGCCTGCTGCTCGCTGCTGACCGTCGACTGCTCCGGTGTGAGCACAAGCATGCCTTGCTGCTGGGTACTGATGGCGGACGGTTGCTGCAAGCTGTCCCCCTGGTGGCTTGCCATGTCCTCCATGTGCTCGGTCGGCAGCGTGCTCTGCTGCTGCAACTGCTGAGCCAGCTCATACCTAGGGAAGCGATGGATTTATGGATTTTACCTATTGGAAATATTTTGGCAGGCTGCACACATTTGCTCAAGCGCAACCTGACCGGATAATCACTTCCTGATGGTTTCGTAGGGCCAAAATGCCATTCCAAATGCAGAAATGAGAGGATATTATCACGATGCACAATGAATTTATACAAGAGTAATTATCGTACACTATGATACTATGATAATTAATGGTACACGTGCAACCCCCTCAATGGATGGCTCGGGTCACTGCTGGTGGAAGGGCCCCGATGAGAGGGAACTCTAGAAAGCCCCTCTACAGAGCACGTGGCATACTTTTCCACACTCCAATAGGATATTGTTGATTAAACTTTTAAAAGTTGTGAAATCTGAATTATAATATACGATGTAGCTTATCAAAAATGCATAAAGAATTATAAAATGAAATACAAGTGGGTTTATACATTATCTGCAATGACTGGTTGTCGAAAATCTTTAACATATTCTCAAACGGTGTTCTGACCTGTGCGTCTTCATGTGTTTTTTGCAGTTGACAGACGTCTTGAAGGTTTTCTGGCAGTAAGGGCACATAAACGGCCTTGTCTCGCTGTGTGTGGACATGTGGCGCTTGAGGCTGCCATTGGTGGTGAAGGTGCCATCGCACATGACGCATTTGTAGGCCTTGAGGCCCACGTGCGTGCGAATGTGGGCCTTCAGTACACCCGATGACACAAAGGAGCGGCTGCACTGCCCACAGCGGTAAGGTTTTTCCCCCGTGTGAGATCTGTAGACAACAAGGTCACAAGAAATGACAAAACACTGCTCTGGCCTTTGATCAAAGCGCTCGGAATGCACCCCGATTAATACGAGATCTCGGAAGCCAAGCAGGTTTGAGCCTGGAGCATAGTGTTGGATGGCCGACCGCCATACGTAAGACAGGTGCTGTCGCCTGCTGCAGGCCTGCATGATCAGCAGATGGTAGTGCAGCCAAATCCACAGCTGTACCGCACTTTAGTGCAACGTACATGGCTCCCCATCTTTATCAAACCGCACTGACCAGCATGTTGCAGTATGGCGCAACAGCCACAAACAGCAGGACAAGGGAAGGCCCTCATCCAGCAGTGGATTTATCAAGGGGCTGTACATAGACAGAGGAGCCTTGATATCATGTAATATTCATTGTGTGTATACCAGAGGCAACATTTATACTACGTTGATACTTTGTAAAAACATTGACCGAATTTATTATTTTTCAAGCAGGGCAGACATGCTTATTTCAAATCCAGTTATTGTAGCCCATTACAATTATAAAGCTGAACAATTATCTTATAAGGAATTAAACTTTATGAGGGCTTTAATGGATGGCAGTAACCATGATAATCAACTATCATGGCATTCCTAATTAGAAACTAAAATTTTGCCTCGTGTTTGTTTGAAAAATAAATTTCATGCTCATTCCTGTAATGTTGTGCATTTGCAACGCTGCAGTTGGTATGGCAAATTTTAAGGGCATCAACGATTTGAATTCAATGTCTTCAAATTTCACTTTCAGAAGGTTATATATCTTATAACCCTATTTTCACACAATCATATCTAACCGTAAAATGCTCTGACCAGTTACAGAATCATTCTGACTTGCTGCAATTAGTATTTAATGCATGTATAGATTTTATACTTGCTATGAGCTCCACTTAATAACTATAGCAATTAACTTCAAGTGCCCACTATAATAGTTACTTTAATGCACTTTTATATCTTTTCCCTTGAAGTGTTATTCTATTCGACTTCTATACTTACAAAATATTATCGTGTAGGTGTAGACGTGTATTATGTTACATTTATTCAGAAATGAAACTAAACAAACTTTTTTTTCTAAATTATACTCTTTGAAACGGATTGTGGAGATGGTAACATTTACAAATATGCTATTGTTTTAATTGACAGCAAATTTAATGCACACAGTGCACCGATTCATCCACAGGACGTGGAGCTCCAGAAGCAATATTTACCTGATATGCTGCTTTAAGTGGCTTGATTTCTTGAACGCTTTGTTGCAGTAGCCACAGCGATAAGGCCTATCTAATCCTGATCCATCTGACAACATTCCATCAGGCAGGTACTGGCTGTACATGTGACTGCTGCGGGTAACTTGCTGGATCAGCCCTGCAAAATGGGGATAAGAGTTGACGAGTCAGATTGAGACAGACACTTCAAAGCAGCCTCCATTCACCATCTCCCACTGCTCTCTATGGGACAGGTAATGTTGCCAAATGCATTATGCTGCTGCTGCTCACCAGACCATTGAAACTCCTGTTAAAAATTCAAAAGGAGAGAACTCTGAACGATGTCAACTTCAAATTCACAGTTAACGCCGCACCACTCAAAATGTCTACGCGACAACATTTCCGCTTGTGTAAACGAACGTTGACTTGACGTGATTTTCGTATCAGGGTCCGCTATTAGCTCTATTAATAAAACATGACCAGTAAACAATTACTTGTATGTCAAAGTGTCGAAATAATATTGCGGGTCATACCAGACTCGGTGATGAGTATGGGCTCTTGCAAAGGTATCTCTGGGAGGCCCATGTCTTGCTTTGGCAGTCGGCACCGGCTTGGCTTTCGTGGAAAGCGCTGCTTTCTCATCTGCGCATCCTTAAAGTGAGACGCTATGTGGCTCTTTCTGTGGCCCGATGTGCGAAACTTCTTGTTGCAGTGTGGACAGTCAAATGGTTTGGCGCCTAGCAGGAGCAAATGTGGACAATAACAAGTAAGGATTTTGGCACTTTAAAGAACTATTGATTTTTCTTGCTCACTTGCAATTACAATAATAGCCAATGTTATCTTGTTTCTGACCCAGGTCTCCCTTGGATAAGATATATGGCGACTCAATGAATTCCAACCTGTTTATCTAACGCACATCCAGCTGCGAGTGACCGCGCGACTGTGATAAATGTTCATGTTCTCGAAGGGAAGGAAAGCTGAAATTTGGCACGAACAGTTTGACTTCATGTATAAATTCAGTAAAAAAATCCAAGAACCTATTTTATTTATTGTGAATCCCACCTTCGAAAATTATGGGCAAACATTTGATGTTTTGTTTTTAACGCTAAACCCGTGAAAGTTTCCACATTCATACACTTGGCAGGGGGTGATTTTGATATAAAAAAAAAATTCAACATTTTAGATGTAAATTTGTCAGAATTTTTTTTTTACTTTTTAGATTTAGAACTTAGTCGTGCAAATATTTTGTGTCTGGAGGTTTTGAAGTGTCATGATTACAAACATGAGATCAGACATTCCACGACTCATTTTTCAAGTGATTTTAGGAATTAGACACACATAAAGCTTAAAGGTGGACAAAGCCCACAAATGGTTACTGGTGCGGTACATAAATGAATGGTAAAGTGTTGATTGCAAAACTATTCTGTCCCTAAAATATACAATCGTGCACTGCGTAAATTATGTTAAATGCAAAAGAAAAGCTTCAAAATCAACATGAGCCATTTTCGAAAACATTGTCGCATTTGCTACCATAAATTGATATTTAGTTTGCGTTTTTAATCTGAGACCCGTGTCAATTCATTGGTGTCCAAATGTTCAGTAAATGCAGTGGCGCTAAGAGTACTGTGCTGGCCAGCATCGTTTTGCATTTGTGTCTGCATGCAATAAAGCTGTAACAGCTAAAATTTATTTTTCCCTACCTACAATATAATGAAGAATCGTCACCCTCTGTCCTTTTACTGCCCTACGCTGGTCATGTACCCACCCTCCCCCAACACCTTCCAAACCAGAGCAATGTTAGGGCTGCCCTCCCCATCCTCCCAGGTTAATCCTTGCATGGGCCTCTCAAAAATTATCTCCTGTCTGCAGCGGCTTTAGGGCTGGCTGCGTTAATAGCCTGGCCTGACTAATTATCTCTAAATCTCTCCGACCTGACCATCAATTAGCATGCAGATTCCTCGCTTTAATAAGCTGCTCCCTCCCGCCCGTCCGAGCATCGCCTCCTCCATTTGGCTGACAGGGCGCAGGCACACTCGGCGCACATTCTAAATGATGTTTGCCCCTAAATAATTGGGCCTTTGATTATGAAAGGGTTTCAAATGCGGGAACTTTTGTATCTTTAATGAAAAGTAATTATCATCATTTCTGCATTCTTGGCCAATTTCAATCCCTAGGCCGATTGTTTCTATTAAACCCTTTGCTTTTGACGACACTCGGGATAATTAAGCGGCTCTTTTACCTTTCGCCTTACATCCACCTTTTGTGCGGCGGAGCCAAGTGTCTGACATTTTATAGCAAATGAGGACACAATATTTGAAGGTGTGAATGAGAAATTAATTTTAAAAACAATATTTTACACCATTAATTTCAAATGTCATTGCAATCCAGATAGCTTTTTAGTGCTTTACTTTGCATGCAGCCATAACCCTCTGGTCGGAATGCTTAACAATCAAATAAAAATCATTTACAAACACCGCACAGAACACAATATATTTGAAGCAACATGATAAAAAAAGAAATCATAGTAAGGTTGATGAATTAATCTTGCGGCTTTTTTTTCTGGAAGTGTGCAAAATCCACCGCATTTAAATTTTATTCGCATTATTAGCAAATAGCCATTATCACAATGAGCGCTAACTGCAATTGAGGATAAGACAATGAATGCATCTGTGGACAAATGTGTCTGCAGAAGGGTGAAGAGAGCAGCACCACTGCCACTCCACCGGCGGCGAGAATCACTCATCCCCATATGTAATTGCATTTCACGTTCTGAAGGAAAGCCCTAACAAAGCCATAACGAATATTAATGATGTGTGACATTCTAATATGTTAATTTTTGACAGATTAAAGTATTGCTCGCATAACTTTTTATTTCTACATGAATAATTGATCCATGCAATTTAGTTCCAGGCATGCATGTTAATTTCCTGAATTACTTCTGTAATATGCAAATTCTCAAAGGCCCCGCACCTCTTGACGATGAGACAGGTGAAAATTACTAAACAAAAATTACTTTTATAGTCACATACATTTCACACTCTGCTGTACTTACAATCCATCTTCCGCTACAAAATTAACTTAATGTCTAGGTTGCAATTAAACACAAACGTTACAGCTAGAAGCATCAATATAAAATTTACAAACAGCAATTCTACATAGCGCAATGGGTAATATTGTATAGTTTGTGCGTTATGGTAATTGCACCCGATTAAAATTTCAGGTACGTTTTTCATTAATTTTTTTGGTATAATTTAAGAACCAAATTTCTTGTATTTAATAAACACATGCCTATACTGCATACCACATATTAAAATAACATGTTCATTTAAATATTCATTTGTAATTGTTATCCATCTACCCCCCCCCCCCCCCCACCAATGCTGATTAAACAGTTGCATTAGATTATAGCACAAAAAATAGCTTGCAAATGTTATTCAGAGAATTATTAAATAATTTTAAATATAATTGGGCACTTCCTTTTCATGGTGATTTTACCAAATGCTTCCAACATTTTTAGGCTTGCAATGGTGCAAGATTTTAAAAAGTCAAACCTCAATTATTCTAGGTTAAAAAGACAATTGACAACAGAGTTTAAATATAAATAAATGGATGCCACTACGTTAATCATTTTTAATCAATTGAATACCGTGTTTTAAAAAAAATACAATTTCCGACGGAAACTTTGCATCGTATCTAATCAAGACTACCTGCAGTAAAACACTGGGACGTTGCTTTTGTTATCAATAGGAGACTGGAATCTCTCCCCCCCTTCATAGGCACCACGAGTGTGTAAGCAGCCCAGGAGTAAAATGTTTGAAACATGAGCCCTTTCCCCCAGGAGCCATTCACAATGTTTAAGGAAAGTGGTCAGTTAACACCTAGTAGGCTTTCGCAACCAATATTATCCATAATCCATAAGGCTTTTGGGTTAGATCGCGTACATATAAGGCGCATTTATATTTACGCAAAACAATAGGCAGTTATTGCAATTTGAAAAGGAAATGATGGAAGTGTATATGTCTATTTGGTCAGTGGTAATTTCATGTAAAGGAAATGTTGAGAAAAAACGTAAATAGGCAACTGATAATGTTGGGAGTCAATGGTGGGGCCGTTGGTGCAATGCACTTTGAACTTGGATATCGGAGTTTGATTCCTGACCACGGCTAACGTGAGTGGGGAGTGATATCTGAACCAGTCCTGCCCCCCCCCCCCCCCCCACACTAACCAGCATGGTGACATATGGCCAAACAACCTCCATGACCGACACGGTATTGGAAGGACTTCATCCAGGAGTAGATTGACAAAAAGGCTCGAAATGAAATGATGTTGGAGAGCATTACTCATTGTAAAACTAGTCAAATGAAAGCGAGAGTTAAGCATTTGGAGTCCTATTCCTAGTGTTCAAGAATTCATCCAAACAAGCCGCCGATTTGCATTCTTAAACATTTAATCTCTCCAAAACGAGATTGCTGCTCATTTTTAACTACAGTACGGTTTTGTTCATATATATTATGAGAACAGGTGGTGAGGTTTGTTATTTTATCAGCCAAACCCAATACATATGCGAATGAACAGAAAACGACGATTAATCATTTACATGTACGCCCACACAAATACACGCTCACACACACTTCCCACTCTCCAACTTTGGTTGGAAACTGCCATTCTGTTTTCATTTCTCAAGCCTAATGAACATCTTTTGGCCAATACATTGATTGATAATGTTCTTTTTCTGAGTTTACATCGATTTCCCATTTTCTTTGCCAACTATTGAGAAATGCCGCAGCAGAAATCAAAAGAAAGACATGATGTAGATGTTCCTTAAAAGAGAACACTGGTAATGAACCCCGTGTTAGCGAGGCTTGTAAACGACCATAAGAAGTTACCTATCAACAACAAGGAGCAATCACGAAAAACATACTGCCCTATTATTACGCGACGTCAAAAAATATAGCGTGGAAGCCTGCAAGATTTCTGTAAGCCAGTCATAATCAATTGCACCCTGGGCTATAAAGACAAGACGCGCCATCATCGCATTCCGCATAATGCATAGAAATGAGGCTGTCGTGTCCATTCGTAACAGAGGGCAGCCGATCTCCTGGCTGAAAATGTCACAAAGAAGCTGCCACACAATTAGCGCCTGCAGACAGGAGCGTCAATTACAACCGTAGCTGATTAATGAAATGAATCACTCTCCCGGCCTTTCCTGAGCAGAATTAATCTGGTTAATCAGAGGTAATGAGGTCCCGACCCTCAGCAAAACCAGCGCTTTTCTAAAGTTCAAATGTCCCAACGGTCGGCTAAAACACAAATCTTTTATCCTGCAATTATCATCCGATTATATATTGTTAGTGTTGCTTTGTAATAATAAAACACCCTAAACTTGTAATAGCAATCACAAAGGATCTGCCAGCTATTGCCAGATTTGTCTTACATATTGTATTATAAATAATGAAAGCTCATGAAACCTTAAGCTGTTTATTATTAGATTCCTGTAAAGTAAAATGTTTAAAATGGCTTTCAGCATCAATTACAAAACAAGCGTACGGCATTAGCATCACTCTTCACATAATAATACAACACCCAGCAGGGAAGGGCTACAGACACCTTAATTGTTCAGAAACACTTTAGACGCCTGTGCATTTTAAACAGAAATTAAGCACTCGCCCCATTACAAGCATGATACACTGATAAACAACGCACGACCGTTAATTCGCTCAACATTTGCGCATTTAAATATACGCCAACTTATGCATTTCTTACACTCATGTTCCCGATCTATTAGTTATCGCCAACTGGGACTGAATATCAAATTACTTCAAATGTTTTATTTATCAGTTCAATACCCCTTTGGCTCGACATTTCGTGATTAAACTCTTTGTTAGAAACCTCTAAATGCCAGCTTAATGACTACAAATGCGGCATACCAATAGATGTTAACAAGAAAGCTATAGCCCAATTGAAAATTTATACGATATGGCAGCAACAACCAATAAAATGCGTGAAGTTCACTGTAGTTCACACTATTAGCAGCAGGAGTCACCAGAAAGCTACAAGGCCTATCAGGGAGGTCTGCAACATCAATTCAAGTGATCGCCATCTGTACTTGTTCTTTCTGTGCTCCCTTGGGAGAAGCCATAAACTAATAACGCCTCACCTTTTCCAGGGGTAAAAATGGATAGTCACCCAATTTAGCACTGATGTACTTTTTGCAATAAAACACTTTCACATAACAGGCATACTGTCATTAGGTTGCAACATTCAATCCATCACCCACAAACTTCTATATAAACCTTTGCTTCATAGGCAGGCCAGTAATATAACATGATTTAAATCTCTTAAAATTCCTCAGTTATATATTACGGCACAATTTAATGGCACATTCTCCAAGATGTTGAAGTGCCTCATCTGCAGTGCGTCAAAATTATTGACTTTCAGCATCCAGGACTAACACAAGAAAAGTTTATTGACTTAATAGCCACGGCATTAGAGGGCAAAAGGGATATTCGCTGCATATGCCTGGAGCAAATAAGACACATCCTCTGTATTATCGGTCAAATATTCAGCTGCAATTCTGTTGAGAATTTCCAAGGTACTTAAGCACTAGCTATGCACACATTACTGGCTTATTATATAAACTGACTCACAATGCAGAATTGTGGCATAACCTAGCATTGACCTGCATTTGCTGCCAGACAATAACATATGATTGCGGCTGATTTAGTGCCTTACTTACAGTGGCAAACTTCCGAATTGTTGGGTATTGGCCCACTGGGCTACATTCTTTGCAACCGCATTATTTTACCCAATTTCTATACATATAAAAGTAATACATATTCATAATTGTTCGTTTCCCCCCGTGGGATTTTCTGTAGCAACATCTGGATAGATAAAACATTTACTTAGCATAACCGTTTTTTGGGATAGAGGTTAGGAAGTATGATGTGTGATTATAAAAGATGGTATAAATGTGGACTGCTTGTGCTGTTTTGCTTTAACATTTTTTTTTGTGCCAGCGTCGGTCCGATATTTAAGTCAGTGGAGGTTACCATTCACGTACATTTACATTTAATAACACAGCAACTGCATGGGGCTGCTTAATAAGCCATGTGTTCAATTTTGGCAGGCACTGTCATATTCTGTAATAGGTATGTAAAATGCAATTCAATAAAGATGACATTCATAAATGTTGTTTATGCTCATTCTACCCACACCAAGCATACGAATTAAGGAAATTACTAAATATTTCATGTGTTTTAACTTGTTCAAAAATGCTAATGTTCATCAAACTTGCCACAGGGATTTAGTTGTCATCTCACTGCATATACCGTGTAATATTTGTTTTGCAAACAATTATAGAGAAAAAAAATGTTGTTATGAGAGAAAACGGATTTGGTACATTACATAAATACAAATAAATCTCGTATTGTTTCATTTGTTAATATGGCCCCTTGTTCTGCCTTCCTTTAACCAATTCACATTTGTATCCAGCAATAAAACTGAAATTTACATGAAAGCAACAGCACTCCTCTTGCTTTTTCTTGAGCAGATAACCACAACGGCGGACCGTGCCGTTTAAAATCCGAACTAAATGATACAAGAAGTAATGACTTGTAATTGTCTTGCTAGAGTCTTAAATGCAGATGGTACATTAGAAAGCAATGCTACAGATAAATGGGTTAATGAGCTAACAAATGATTACGAGATGGTATTGGCGCCCAAACAAAGACAGTCAGGAGAGGTCAGCATCAGGTCACTAACATGCATCACTTACCCCATGGGTAATACAAAACAAACTCTTAGCCTTTCATGCACATGGTAGTTTTCATTTGTATTCTACCTAATTTACGGATGCATGGTATAGAGTGAAAATAGAGGATAATGCTCCCTAAGCATTCTTTCGTAGTAGAATGTCTGTTTGATAACCGAAAGCTATTCTTTTAACTACTCTGCCATACGTGTTGTTACGGACATATACAAACTCAGGATTGTTTTTTATCCGTGAAATGGCATGAACACGGATTATCAATATTTCATTTAACCAAGATTAGCTTTCAATGCTTTATAACTAAGGCGCCACGGTGGCGAGATGTTAACGACCTCTTCCGATACCCAGGAGCTTGTGGGTCCGATCCATGTTCTCCCCGTGGTCGCGAGGACTTTTCTCTGTGTCCTTTGGTTTTTTCCTTTCACATTTTTAAACGTGCGTTTAAAGTATTTTGCTGCTATACATTTCCACATAAGCCACGTCACTGAGCTATTATTTGTGGCCAGATCACTTCTGAAAAGAGCTATATATGATAATTGTTTTTTACCCTTTTATCTGGCTCAGTGGGCCTTACCTTGTAAAATAGTTTATAGTTTAGTTTTATTTTAGTTTAAGTGTTAATGAACTAATTCTTTCTTCTGTGATGGGGGGTACAATAACGCCCACAAAGGTAATCCAACATAATCACATTTATTTGGCCTTTTCCTACAGAAAATGTATCAAAGTGATTAAAAGGTTGCTTACAATATGGTACTAAAAAAAAACTGTGCTAAAAGGATCCGTTTTGCCAGCCAGGGCGCTTGCATCACACCGGTCACGTGCGTGACTCGCCGCCTCTTCTTACGCGTGACGTCATCGGGCTTGGAACGTAACATTATCGTCGCTAATTAAATACATTCAAAGGAGAAGCGCGTGATTGGAAAGCGTTTGAGAATACACTCACAGTATTAATCTTAAGACAACACTTTTTGTACGTGCCGAATGAAAACTGCAGTTTAAGGAATCCGAAGGTAATTTGCTTCCTCTGAAGAAAAATATACAAGCGAAAGTGCAAACGCAAGCCAAGCAAAGTCAACAAAGATAGAAAGAAAAAAAGGAAAACATTAACCAAATGAAAAAAAGTGCAAACTATGAGCACTGATGATAAACCAACATCTGCTAACCAAATGCGACCAACAGCCTGTACTGAAGCCTTGTAAAGAAACCACTATACACATTAGGGGCGTAATAATTCACCCCCCCACCAATCCCTTCCCCCCCAAGCGATGTGATGAACCGTTGTGATTCAGGGCCACGATTTGACTCAAGAATCTATTCTTTGTGGGTGAACATCGCAGCCTCTGGCAGCCAAAGGTCACATTAATCCATTACATTCAACAAATATAACCAAAAGTTTAACACGTAGGCTTTCGCGACAAATATTATCCATAATCGAGGTGTTTTGGGTTAGATCGCGTAAATCTAATTGTGATTTAACCTGCCATCACCCGACAAAGCCAATTCGTAAGGTTTGTCATGTAAATAGATCCCAATTAGTTACTAGTTCAGCACACCGGTGTATTGGAGAGTAAACCCACACAACATGCAATTCAACACATAGTTGACATTAAACAATGAATCGATGCAACATTACAGCCCTACGGACAGCGCTCGACACTGCACGCATTAACATGCTATGTTGCCCCGATACTTGTTAAACACGGTATATCCGGTTATGAAACCGATGCTCGTGACAAAATGTGGCTGCTGTCCCGACTATAAGACAGTTGTTTTTTGTTGTTGTCAAAATGAACCCAGGTTGTGGACGAACAACTTGAAAGCAAGATAGTTTGAGGTCTCCACGCTCGCCCGACATTTTTTGTGTCAGAATAGTTATTTTTTTGTTTCATCGAGGAAAAGATCACCCACCATTTCACCACTGGAAAGGATCACCCACCATTGTACCACTGGGAATGATTGGCAGGCGTGTACAAAGTATCCAGTAGAAACTGCTGGGAGCACATCGAGATTCCAAACTGCCTCTCACTTTGAAGCTACGTGTCCAACTTGTGTAAGCTTTGCTCCGAACAACTACGATGTGCAATGTCCTGACAGAGCACAGTATGTCTCCACAGAATGCACACAAAGCATATTAAACCATCAGGCATTCGGTTTAGGAGTTATACAAGGTTTTTTTTATGAATCTAAATTTGCAGCTAAAAATGTATTTAAGTCCACTCTATTTTGCTGACATAAATTGTTAATGAGATTGAGTGTTAATTGCTGCAAAATAGTGCAGAAAGTATGCCCACGCTCAAACAATAAGCAATGTTCCTTCCAATTGACGGTCATGAGCCAGTCGTGAAATTTCCATATCCTTCTGATGGGGTTTGTTTGACCATACTTTCCCATTCTCGTCAGTACAGCTTTGTAGAGGGGTGCTCAGGGCCGGTTTCAATACCAAGCACCACTGCTGTTAGCCATGGCTGGGAATAAAACTCAGGTTACCCGGCTCGCGTAGAGCATTAACCACTGCATAACTGTTCCACCCCTGGTCACCAAACTAGTATGCCATTTACAGTATACTATCCCACGATAGAAATAGGAGCTGCTCCTAAATGTGTACAATATTTCGATACATAAGGTACATTCGAAAAAAATCACGTGTGCCGTTCCGATATAATTGATTTGTGAGTCGATGAAAGAGGTTCACGTAGCGCAACTCACCCGTATGAAGTCTTATGTGGACTTTCAGGCTACCCTGCGTTGAAAACAGCTTGTCACACAGGGGGCACATGAACTCCTTGAGACCGGTGTGCGTCTTGCGATGCGCGGTTAGCGTGCTCTTCACGGCGAACGCGCGGAAGCACTGCGTACACTTGTAGGGCTTCTCGTGCGTGTGGATGCGGATGTGCCGCACAAGATCGCTAGGCTTCTTGAACTCCTTGTTGCAGTAAGGGCACATGTGCCAGCGCACGCCATTCACTCTTCGCCACGTCCCTACTGCGAACACAAAACATTGTACATTATAAGAGCCTTAAAAGATTTCATCAATTCATTCAAAACAGATTTTCAGACTCGCGATCCACCACTGTACATCTATCCATGTATCCTTGTCTGTTTACATATACGAGCACACAATTAGTCACCCTCATATCTGCTTAATATTTTCGTACCATAATTGTCCTATGATCAGCCGAAAAAGAATCTGAGGTAACTTAACGTTGCAGGGAATTTCTTATTTATCATATTGACTTATTTTCGTGCAATATTTTCGATTTCTCATGTGACAGTTGTTTTTGCTCCGGTGTCTATTTGCTTCATTGCTGAAGTTTATTGTATTGGATTTGCTTTTGCAAATTTTGGTGACCCAAGTGACTCTCTCCAAGGAGGCTATCATGGTCTCCGTAGTTCTTGCCTTAAGCTAAACAAATACATTAGAACTTGGCCAATCATCTTTGTTCAAATACAAATTATTACACACTGCATATGCCTGACTATTACGTAACACATGCCATGTGACACAGACAGCACCGATTCAAATTGCGAGGATCCCAATTTAAATAACGGCCATGTCACGTAGGATACACATACACCCACACACAAACACTGCAAGATCTCAATCTTAAATTGTATCATCCTCTACATCACTTTGGATGTGTTTACAATCACCAGGTGCTCGTGGCACACAGATTTTACTTGTATTTGAACAGAGAAATTGGTATATGTGGAAAGACATATGTTAAGAGGATTGCAGATTTGGAAACACATTACTGCTACCTTTTAAACAAAAAAAGCTGGGCTCAATGCATCGTTGAGGTTCAGTGTTCGCTTCCCACAAAACTGGTGAAGACCACAATGAGTACAGTATAGCTGTGAAAATCAATGTACAAAATGATTTAATTTTGGTCCATATGGTTTATGGAGATTTTATGTGTGCCAATGCTCATATGCGAGCCAAAAAGTGTAATGTATTTGAATGTCAAATGTATTGCATATCCCTAACTGCAAGGAAAAGATGAATCAATGTTAAATGATTTTTTAAAAAAAATTTAAACACATTCTCAATGCCTTGCAGACAAGGAAATCTGAGCTCAGATCATTATTGCAGTTAGTGCCAAGTTACCACAACACAGCTATAATATGCATTGCACTGCAAACTCTGTAACACGGTGATTCAATTGGTTCAAATGGCTGCTTGCTATTATATCAATCAGTCAATCTTGATAAAGTGTATTTCACATCAATAAAGGTGTCTCAGAGTGGTTTACACAAAATTTAATTTACGTGATATGCCACGTCTATATGCACATGGCACTGCGATCATATTATGTGTGTATGCTCACAGAGTAGCGTACAGGTGTATTGTACTGCAATTGAATGGTAAGTATAAGGTGCTAATTAATTAGTTCAAATGCACCTTGTGCTATTATAAGCACGTGGGAGCAGGTATACACCTACATGTGTGAGTTTACAGATACTATATAATAGGATTACATGGGAATGTGCAAAGGAATTAATTTAAATCGCGTAACAAGCACATTATAGTTCTTCTACATTAATTATCTTTACCTTTGCCATCCGCTAAAATTCACTGTGAAAAACATGTAGACTGCATGAGCTCTTCTCCTCATTGTTACAATGACCTCGTTCTATTTTTCACCAATTTTTAACCAGGTTTTTAGTCTGTCCATTTTAAAATATGGTCCAATAAAACCCAGGGTATTAAAATTTATGACTTGGAAGTTGTTATTGCTATGTCCGCTACAAACGCATGTACATTTATTACTGTGCGGAGCTAAGGTTTTTTTCACAATGCACATTACACTCACCACCACACACCCAAGTCGCTACTTGTATACATTACCTATACTCCTCAAATTTTTATGGGACACCATTCCAGTCGACATTTGTTACAACATTTTTTTACCTCTAAATTTCAATTCGCGTCTTTATCATTGAAAGCTGCTTCTACAATGGGATGCAGCGGCGACGCAGTGGTTCGCACATTGCCCCGTGAACCCATCGACCCGAGTTGGAACCCCGGATATGGCTGCCATATGAATGTTTTTGCCCCCCCCCTTCACCAACCAGCACTGCTCAGCATGGTGAAGTAGGTCAAACAACCCACCTATTACCGACATGACATCGGGAGGCCTTCATCCCGCTGCGGATTGACAGAGTGGTTAACTACATAATATATATTTTCAAACTGATCAATGTGTTCCATATTCCAGCATTACCGTGCAGCGTATGAAGCTATCTCCCGCTTGCGATTTTTTTTTTGCGCGCGCGCGTTTAGTTTGTCCTTCTTCCCCCCCCTTCCCGCCGCACCTCCGATGAGCACAGTTAGTTACGCTCTGGTGTGAAAGAAGTTCAACACACTGCATGTATATAGTGAGAATGGCCAGCCCCCCACCTGTATACTGCGAAACACGGTGTCCTGCAAAGGAGCCGGAGAAACGACGAGTACTTTCTCCACCCTCCTTGCCGCCCTGCCGCGCCAGCGAGAGGGAGCCGGGCAGCTGCAAGCGCGGCCTCCCCGTGGAGCGCGGTACCGTCGCTGCTGCCGCTCTCTGAAGCGCCGCCGGCACCTCGTTGCCACTTGCCATGGCACTGGCGACTTGGCTCTCCACCGGGATTGCCGTCAAGCCACTGTTCGCGAGCGCTTGCTGCAAATAGATGAGGTGTTTTTATCTGCAACGTCTCAATTCATTAAAAAAACACTAAGGCACGTAAAAATACCTTTTTTTGCACGGGCCAATGAACAACGGGAACTAATCTGTTTCACATACTGTATAGGTGATCCATTTAGAGATACCCAATAAAAAAAACCAGAGAGAAATTACATGGAAGACAGTATTTTGTTCCGAAGCCTGTTATGTCTCCACCAATCTCATTATACTTGTTAAACATTTTGACATTCAACCCTTACACTTTGTCCAACACAGTTGGTGTGATATGCTTACAATGTTTCGAAGAAACTAAGAGGACAATTAAAAATCAGTGGGGTATCTATAAGTGGATCACCGTGTGTTTGTGTGTATATACACACATACAAAAGAGTGAAATCACCCGACGTGCATTATATTGTAAGTATTAAAGACCAACAGACAAAAAAACAAGCCCTGCCTAAATTAATGAGTGCCTGATCAAGGAAGATGATTGAAAACATTTAGTGCTACAAGAAAAACATGGCAGCCGCTATAATTGAAATCATATAAAAATCGTTTCTTAATACACTACATTTGGAACAATTTAAAGTTCTTTACAGTTCATATGGGTATAGTTGACCAGTGTGTAATCACAGCATCCCCACAGGCACACGCTTTATGTGCACAGACGTAATAAGCATTGGTAATTACACGCCAGTGGGGCTCTTCCTATGCATGCTTTTGTCAATAATTTAAATGCCAATACTTCAATTAAAGCAACCGGCAACAATTACTGATGGCGAAGGCACTTCTGCATGAGGACATGGTATTCCTCAAACACTAATAGCCATATTGTTAGCATGATGTGAAAGGCAATTGCTGCCCGCTGTTGTGCATTCATCTGAAATGTGGTTTCACTACGGACTTCAGGCAAAAAGATATTAGGGTCGGATTATTTTGTTCCTCCTCCGTTTAAATTCTTCGTACATTACATGAGTGGCTGCAAAATACTGAGAAAAACACATAATGACACAAACTGGACAATTTTGCCCACATTACCAAATCGCCATATGGTCAATTCCACGGTAACGGAATTACATCATGGGACACCGAGCCTGATAATCGCAACATTTAACGTAAGCTTAATTTGGGCTTTTATGGTTTCTCAATGTTCTTGCACTGCAGACTGATATGATACATAAAGATCCCATTATATTGCAATCTGTTATATTCTTGCATTGTTCCTGTAATTCTGTTACTTTAGGAAAACCCAAATGTCAAATGCGTATGAGAAACATTTGTTTTTATCACTGCGTTCATATTCACAGTATAAAAAACACATTTATCGTGACAACTATTTTTAAAGTGCATGCAACTTATTTACAAGCATGCTCTGGTTTACATTTGAGAAGATATTACAAATACAACACTGGCAAAGAATGACCTCTTCTGCCAAGACGATCGCTGGGATCTTTCATATCCACAAGAAATCACATGAGACCACAGACTCAACATGTCCTTTGAGGACGGAACAATGACTCAATGTTTCCACAGCACATCATTAGAGAAATGTGGAGGGGGCTGGGGTAGAGGTGTATTGTAAAAAATAAAAATCTGAGTCACAAGCGACATGCTGTAGCACTTCACTACCAAACCACATTTAAACGCGTGCATGAAATGTACATATGGAGAGTGCTTGTGCTTTCATATTTGGCACACCTGAAGAATGTCCTGGCTGATGGATGCCGAGTCTAAGTTCAACTGCTGAAGCTGTGGCTGGCCGTGGGTGGGGTCAGCGGACACCTGCTCCGAGAGGTCTAGGAGCTGCTGTATCACGTCTGTCACTCCGCGGGCTCCCTGAGGTCCCGCTCCTGACACCGGCGTTGCGACAGTCTGGGGCGCACACATCCGCACAGGCAGCCATGTGAGGTGAGGAGGACACCAACAACAAGCATGCGCGCGACTTCAAAGCAACCCGGGTGATGCGAGCTGGCTACCTGAGTGTCATCACCAAGCAGCTGGCTCGTGTACGACTCGTCTGTGTGCATCCTGCTGATGTGGGCATTGAGACTGCCCAGCTTTTTGAAAACACAGCTGCAGTCCTCACACTGGAACACTGGCTGCTCCCCTCCAGGCTTCGCCTATGGAGGAGAGACAAGAGCAGTTTGATTCATCTATACCCGAGTGTCTGACTGCCCTTCCCTCGCACGTCCGATTAGAACGGTTGGCAACGTACGGTGCGAAAGAAGTTCAACATACATACATACAAAAGAATTATATGCAATTGTGCCCACCTCTAGTTATCAGGGGATGTTAGCTTGTAAGAGAATAAATAGAGTACATTTCTACTGAACAAATTCAGCAGCGGCAATGATCTCATTAGAATTATACAAGTTGTTTATGTTATGGTTTTTCCCACTTCTTCAGCCCGTGCAATTTCTGAAATTGCTTATTTCAGACAATGGGAAAACATATCGCAGACTGAAAGAAATTCGTTAAACATTAGTGTAACAACCTAGTTCTGTAAAATATAACGTGCATCTGAAGCAAAGTTCAGCAGTAATACCAAAATGGAAAACACGAGTCCAGCATTCTAGCCAATTTGGCAGGGGGCAAGGAAGAGACTTGCAGAAAATAAGTCACAATACAAATACAACATCCATTTCTTTTCCTCTCACTGCAAGAAGATCGAGATATTCCCACAAAGGCCCACATTGCTGAGCACAAATCAATACCCTGCGAGGAGAGCCATCAGGCAGCATGGTACAGAGACCCTGACAGATCGCGCCCATACAATAAATCCTCCTCAAACCAGGCAGCTGCTAGCAGGTATCATCACTCTCGACATTCAAACACGTCCCCCCACCAAAAAAAATGGCCACACCAAACAGCGTTTAAGTTGTCAAGAGAAATGTCAGGAGCAAGACTATTCGTTTTGGCCTGCCTTTGCAGCTCGATACAGTGAGACAGGTTGGGATTACTAGGAAGGAATCATTGCTTGTTAGGCTTTTGTAGAAAATCAGGGTGGCCACTTTGAGGATGGCTTTGATCGAATGTAATCAGCACTAAACTATGTCAAGTGTGACAGTATTCTTGCAAATCCTGCTTTAATTAAATTAAGCCTCAACTGTTAATCTTTGTTATGCAGCTGTTTAAAGTAACGCAAAACATTAAACACATTAAAAACACTACATTTGTATTACATTATCTGTCCACATAAATTACCACATTGTTCTCTTTGGTAATGTGTTATTTTGACATGCATAAAGACACCTAGAAATTAATTTAGGATATAAAAATACTAAGTGATTAATACCATTATGCTTAAGTAAGACAGTTCATCCTGGGAACATTACTTTAACAGTCAGGCACTACTACACAAAATCAAAGAAGGCTTTGCACATTTAATGTATTAAATGTGAAATCCAGTTTTTAGCCAAACTTCCCAACTTTTTAGAGCCACATGAAACAAATTCAAAATCTAGAAAAGGACTATGAATTACCCTCGGGCTATCGTGCTGAGCATCCCTGTAACCTATGAATTTCTTAACATAACAGTGACCTGTTATTCAATAACCAGCGCAACAAGCAAGCATTTAGACTATTCAGAACACACATTATAAGAGTGGTTGCTTTTTTCCCCCCACATAGCATTCCAAAATAAATGAAAGATGGCAAATTATATTTTAAAAAACACATACAAATCCGTACAGCTTAACAATAATCAGTTTGAATAAAAATAAAAGATTTCGTCTTACATCAGAGTGGACCCGCTGAATGTGAGCCCTAAGGTTGCCTCTTTGTGAGAAGGTGTGAGGGCAGAAGGCACAGCGGTAGGGGCGCTCTCCAGTGTGCTTGGCCTTGTGAATCTGCAGCGCTCCTTTCTGGTTGAAGGCTCTGCCGCACTCCTCACAAGTAAAGGGGCGCTCGCCTGCACACGTAGAAAAATTTATGAAATACTTTAGCCGAGAACTTTAATCCCCCTCCTTGCAAAATTCTCGCCGCAATGGAAAGCACGCGTTTTTTTTTGAATTTAGCATATTGTTCAATAGGAGGGATAATACAAATTTAAATGCCTTTAAATAAAAGACCATTAATGTGTTACAGTGCATATTGACATTATTCCGTGTGTGGAGGGCAGTAAATAAAAAGGCACAAACCAGTGTGTATGCGTATGTGGCGTATGAGTTGGCTCGGCTTCTGGAAGGTCTTCATACAATGCTCACAACGATGAGAAAACCCAGACCTGTCAATATTACGCTTGTATGACCTTGTGGAAAGAGAAGCTCTGAAAAGAAGAGTCAAGACCATCATATACAGATGAAAAATAAATTGTTACAAAAGACAGCGCTTGCTAAGAGAAAGCTACGGTGAAGGCACACAGCTCTCCTATCTATGCCTTATAACAAACATGAACACTTAATTATTCAAATGTTACTGGACTGTATAAAGTATTATTTGCAGTATTTCACAAATGCAATATTTAACAAAATTCACAATTTCAACAAAACGATTTGAATATCCATTGTAAATGTTGTGGATTTGCTTTCCAACACACCGGTGTGCTGTACTAGTAACAAATCGGCATGTTCTGTTCATGTGAAAAACCATACTAATTGGCTACGTCGGGTGGTGGTGGGTTTAACAACATTAATCATTTACGCGATCTAACCCAAAAACCTATATCATGGTTGAATATCCATGTTGGCTAAATGAATGTCATGTTTTGCCATTATTTTAATTTGCATACATTATGATATTGTTGCCTCACGTAGATTTCCCATGTCTACATTACAAACACTTTAAGTAACCGAGACAAGTCTGCATACATTTTCAAGGATCGCCAACCCATTTAATGGCAGATAATTCATTTTCCAAGGTAATGAATTGGACACACTTGATGTCGGCATGAAGAAGGCAAAAACCACATTTGCGGTTCACATCGCCGAGTTTATGTAGACCTTCCAGAGAAGATGGTAACTCCCACGGACACAGAGTGTATGTTCAAGGATACCCTCCTTAAATTGTTAACAGTTGTTAATGGGCGACTCAGGCATCAACTGCACAAGTACGCACTTTTGCAACGCCTCCTTAATTCCCTCACACATTCTGCTATTACAGTTCAATTAACACCGTTGTATAGTTCAACATAATAATCCGTCTGGCTAATCAATCTAATGTTCGTATGGCGATCTACCTGATTTTGTAGTGGGAGCGCATGTGCTCGCGCAGCGTGGACACGCGTTGGAACTCCTGATGACAGATGCGGCAGGTGAAGGTGCGTGCCCCCGAAAGCTCCTGCCGGTGCATATCCATGTGGCGCTCCAGCTGGCTCTGCAGAGTGAACTCATCCCCGCACTCTGTGCACATCAGGTTCTGCAAGAGAATAACATTGCAAAGCAGGTTGGATTCATATAGCATCTGAACGCAACTGCTCTCAAAACACAGTGTAGAACAGAGGGACTTGGGCTTCCTGGGTAAAGGAGACATGTGTATTTATAATAAAGAGATGATGAGGCATTTAGCGAAAGGTAGAGGAAGATCTTCAGCCTGGACTTGAATAGGGGCAGGGAGTTGACAGTACCGATGGCTGTAAGAAGAGAGTTTCAAATTAAGGGGCAGTAGAGGAAGAAAGATCGAGCTCCCACTAGGTGAAAGTTTACTGGCGGATTTAACAAAAAAAACGTTGGTTCCTGAGGCAAAACGTGCGTGGAGAGGAGTACAATGAGATGAGAGGGAAGAGGCAGGTAGAGCCAATTACATGGTAGGATCTTCAAGCTGATCCAGAATTTTATTGTATAAGGATCAAACTTAATTTGGAGCTTTCGTGACTGCAGGAATTACTCTTTGGTTCTTTCGGTAAAGTCACTTGAATTAGGGTGATGCAGTCACCTTTACGAGTGCGAGTGAAAAATCTGACAGTGATGTTTTGGATCAACTGCAGTTAGGAGATGAGTGATTTGGGGAGAGTGTCGAGGAGAGAGTTGCAATAGTAGAGTCGGGATGTAATGAAGATGCAGATGAGGGATTCAGATGCAGCTGGGTTAAGAAAGTTAAGAGGTGCAATTTAGGCGGAGGTCCTGCAGAGTTGAAAACAAGAGATCGGGATCAAAAACATGCAACATATGTATACATTTCCTCCCCCTTGAATGAAATTCAAGTTATACAACAAATTTGCACACTGTAAATTAATTCATTTTAAGAGGTGACAGCACAGTACATTGTGATGCATTCGCAAAGTGAAATATAAACCCATCATTAAGAGTTGCAAAAAAGGCAACTAATTAAATTGTCATTTTTAATTCAATAAAAGATCCGCATGTGCTGCAATGCACGCCCCGTTATAGTACAAACTATAACATTGAATACCAAGGGAAGTCACGCCACTCCAACATAAACGCACCCATTATCTGCAGGAACAATTATTTCTCACCTCCTCCTTTTCATGAAGCATGATGTGTGCCTTGAGGCTGGCAATTCGTGAGAATGTGCGCCCACAGTCTGGACATGCAGTCTGGTCCACTGAATGTGTGGCCCTGTGCAGCAACAGGTTGTATTCCACATTGAAGGAGGCTGGGCACTGGTCACATCGATGAGGCTGTGTGAATGTGTGCGGGTGTGGGTGTGTAGCAGAAACAAGGGAATAGAGAAAGTAATTTTATACCCTATAAGCATTCAAGAAACTAAAACTAATTTCACGTGAAAACTTTTTTTTCGTGATCGTATCCTAGAATGTTTTTGCACGTGTAATTATTTATTGTAACCTTGTCATTTTCTTGGTGCTGTCGGAGATGCTTCTGGAGCTGGCTGTGCTTGTGAAAGAGCTGGTTGCAGATGTCACACTGGTGGAGCCCCCTTGCCGGCACATCTCCCTCCTCCACCTGATCCACACCCATTCCCTGTGGGTCTTCTGAGCGTGACCACAATGGAGACATTACCATAGCGCGTTGACCTTCTGTGATGCTTTAACCTCTCAGTGAACTCAAACAATCACCATATTTTCTCGTCAGAGGAATACACTATTAAGTTATAACATTTTGATCTTGCACCACTCAATACTGAGAAAGTCCAATTTCCTTGTGATTTATGTTTAACCGTCATGCAGTGCTATTATGAAAGATAAGCCATCTTTTTCTATTGAAGCTTTTATCCTCTGGAAAAAACCCACGCAATATCAACCTGAAAACACATTTATTATTTATTACACAGATTAAAAATATTAATACGGTTTAGAACAAGTTCAAATACAACTGCATCAAATTAATATAGCACAGTAGCACAGGCTTAATATAGCGCCATATTTTGTGCAAAAATACTGTGATAATTGAAATTATTGTACAGGATTTAGTAATAAAAATATCTGCAATAGCACATCACTCACAATGTAAAATCTAGCAACCTTTGAAATAACCCTCTGCTCATTCACAGTAACTTGGTAATACTCTGAATTTCCAAATGTATAAACCAATACCCGGCCATATTACCTGCAACTGCTACTATCTACAGGACAAAAATTGTTACTATTATCCATTGTTTGCATATCCAAGGAGTCAATCGGCAAATTAGTCCTTTTATCTCAAGAAAACATCACCAATAAACCATGAAAAATTTCAGATAACCTCACATACCACAGGATCCGTGAAGTTCACCCGCACATCTTCAAGGATAAGTGGAGTTATGTGATACGACCTGGATCTGACCAACCATGACATCAGTCTTAACAGACCATCAGCTATGCAGTACCATGAATACATATGTGCATCTTTGATTTTGAACTGTAAACAAATCGACAAAATCGTTTATCATTGGGGATCAGACATTTATATTGGCGTGTTGTTGTGCATAAGTATGGTATTGTAGCCGAAGCATGATGCCGATGCCCCCCTCGCACATTTAAAATATATCCTGCACAATACAGCAGACATCCAATGCAGTAATAAAAAAAAATTAATGTAATTTCCAGACTATTGGCAGTTCGCGACTGCACCCATAATCCATGGCACAACACGGCAGATTGAAAACGCTTCTCGGACTGGAAAACCTCAATCAGTAGAGTGGACGGGGCCTAAGTGAGAGCTCCTGGAATGGAGCTGCAGGGAAACTCAGGAGGTAGGATTTTTTTTTTATTCAGCAATTGAACCTGATGGCGGGACCCCGGGGTCCCATGTGCCCCCGGCTCTCGCATAAACTGCATTGAAAGGTCATTACATGTCTGCGGAAGGCGAACGATATGGCAATCTATTCCTCTCGACGAGCTCTACACGATCCGCTAATCAAAGTTTCAAAACTTTGTTTCTTCTGCGCATTCGTCCTCCAATGATCCGCGCCAGGTGGGTCGCGGCGTTTATGTGCGCGGTGGGACGGAGTCGCCAAAAATAAGTAAATTTATTACGATTTTGACTTCCGTTTATTCGGGACCCTGGGGTCCCGCCATAAGGTTCAATTGTATTTCTTTAGTTGCATCTGCAGACTAGTTGCGCTGATGCGACTTGTCCAGTAGAAAATCATTTTTTTATTTTTTTACTTGGATATCAATGCAAAAAGATCATGTAACATAAACCCGCATGGCATATTTGCACTTTAGACGTCGTGTGCCACGCTTCCCGTGTAATCTAATTTTTTGTGTGGATTAAGGGAATCGCGCGGTGCTTTCCTCCCATAATCCGTGGCACACCGCGCCGGCACAAAAACAATTGTGGATTATTTGGTGTGACCTCCGCAGTGTGCCATGGATTACAAGCCCAACAGATTATTGGATTTCTGCTATATTCATGCCACAGCCTACTCCTCCCTTGAAAGTAAATCCTGCACCATGTGATATCTTCTTCAGGCACTGCACCTTTGCGAGGTATCAGTTTGTCCTAAAAATAAATCCTGTCATAAGCATATTCATTTTCTCACGAAGCCCAAAGGAAACATCCATATAGTCATGACTCTATGTCAGCTTTCATTCACAAATCGTCAAATTTTTACAGATTATAGCCACTAAACAAGGTCAACCAATCTATAAATGCATTTCAGTACCGCAAAAAAACGTACAAGCACAACAATTTCCTATTCCCCCCTTACATGTTTATCAAGTTCTCACCACTACAGTACGTTATACACTGGACTATAAATGCTGCCTTTATTAGGTGTCAGTGGTATTTTACTCGAACAGTATGATCACGCTATTATCGCCAAATCACTGTAATAAAATGTCAGTACTTTCATGCACTCTTTCATTGTGATATTATTACTACAGTGATGTATTTAAATTCCAATTAATATCACGACTGATATTCTGTCTTCTTGCTTTGTAGGTCTCTGTGGTAAAAGCGGCGCAGAACTGTATACTATCTCGGTTTCTCAGCCGTTTCAAATAAACCAATTGATTGATCTACTGGGCTCTCAGCTGTTTTACTAATCTCATCATTAGCTCCCTCTTACTTGTGTAGCTTTATCAGCTCAGCTTCACTGTTGTCACCTCATCATTTCTCACGTAATTTTATGAAACACTAGCTCTGAGCAACAGCGCCCTCAACTTGACTCTGAAGTCACATTAAGTGTCGTGTAATTTATTCAAACTTTGCAATCTAAATAAACATCGCTAAGCACTCTGCTTCTTCAGTTATGCAAATTATCCGAGCACTCAAGGTGTATGAAATAACTTGTTTGGTTCTTCACTTCTTCCCAATTAGCATGATAATCAGTCCCATTCCTCGTCGTATTGTCATCAAAGCTCTCATTATCCTTGCAATGCAGCCTCTCCATAAACTCACACCCTCGTCACCACACAACCTCATCATCTCAATCTCATCACCACACAACATGACCAGTTTCATCAGTCACCATACAAACCCTATCAGCTGGGTTTGCTCGCCTCATCAGTCATCCGCATGTGACCCCTTCACATCCAAGTCTCATCACTAATCTGATCAGATGAGCTTTCGGGCTCAAAGCTGTCTAACCCGACAATCATCTCTCTCGCTCTGCCTCATCAATGTGAGACCTCGTCGTCAACAAAGTCCACAGCAGCGAAGGGGGGGGGGACGACAACTACCTGGGCCCCCGTGTTCAGAAACATGAACTATACATCATTCTCGGCAGCAAGCGTGAAAGTCAATATCCTTCACTTAACTAGGTGAAAATCCATTATCTCCCTTGACAAGGAGACCTAGGAAATTTATTGGCCCATTGGAGGTAATTTTAAAATTTGAACTATGCCACACTATCTGACCTGCTTTTGCAACCATCACCGGGTGCCTTGCCAAAAGGCTTTCGTGTCAATTGGCTCTCGCCTGGTTGATCATAATTAAGTTCATGTATGCATTCCACCAAACACGTCAAATACTGTACAGACTGTACTTAGAATGATTGATAACCACTGCGTCCGGAGTTTAATGCAACATTTGGTCTTTAAATCTCACGAACTGGGGCTGTTTAATGAGTGGCGGGACACGAATCCGTGACATACATGGGGGGGGGAGGCGAACGTGTTATATAACCACTGTGGCACGCAGCACGAGTGTGCGTTTTTGTGAGTCGTAGTCATTGGGCCATCAATAACAATGCTGTTCAACAACCACCAAGAAGACCAACAAGACGAGATTGTTGGTGCCAGGTCCCACAGGGGACTCACGTAGCTCCGCCATCTTGCAGCAACTAACGCAAGGGAGGGCAGTGTTGTTGTTGTTGTGTCGGGGGGGGGGAGATTGCCAACCACCCAACACAAGCCAAGCCATCATTCAACTACAGACGAGAATGAACGCAACAAGGACTTACGCATCACATTTACTTCGACTCATAAAACTATGCCACCCCTACCCCCCCGAAACACTTTTTAAAAATCAACACGTGTATCGCTTGTGTCGCAAAAAATACTAATAAAACATTAAAAAACCCCGCTCACGCATCGGCATCGACACACAAAAGCGACGAGCCTCGTGCCGCTAACCCTGCCGACTAAACAGCGGCGCCGCGGGGCCGCCACGCGTATAAGAGTGCCCAGGCCGCGCCACCGCCGCCGCATCCGCAGCCGCCTCCGCGGCCGGGCCGCCTCACAACCCCCGTGGACCCGCCGCACGCAAGCGCCGACTGACGCCTCCTCCTCCTCCCCCACCCCCCTGCCCACCTCATAGCGTGGACGCCGCGAGAACTACAACAACGACGACGACGACCCGCGGCCTCGAAGCGGGCCCCGCGGAGCGAGGCGGCCGCGTTTGCCGCCTGCAGCGCCGGGCGGCTTCAAGTCTACGAGGAGGGCGCCATCTTATTTAGCGAGGAGATGTTAGAGTGGTGGTGGTGGTGATGGTTAAAGATGATAGTCCTCGCTTCTTCTCGAGGCTTAAGCCGCTGCTAGTGTCGGCGTCGTCGGTGGTGGCTAACACCGTGAAGGGGGTGGGGAATGTTTGGGGGCCTCGTTCGTCCGCGCGCACAAACACAAATCCGTCCGCGGCGGCGGCGAGCGTCGTTGGGGGGGGGCGACAGTCTCAGTCCGCGGCGGCGGCGGCACCGCGAGAGACGCTCACGGACCTCGTCTCGTCTCCTCGTCTCTTTGTCGCCGAGTTGTTTAAGAAGGCAAAGCGACGCGAGCAATAACAGCAACGATGTGGGGTTATTTTTAAAACACATAATGACTGAAACGCACGTACCTCGAGCGTCGCGAACGTGAACGCGGAGCGGAGTAGAGAGAGACACGCGCGCGCAACGCGACATTGACAACCAACAATGGTGATCGTGCAAGCTACACGAGACCCGTCGATTAGTCGTTATATTAATTATTATTTTGAACAACAATAATCGGACGTTTAATCCCGTAGCCCACCACTACCAACCCCCCCCCCCCTTTACCTTGCAGGTTTGTGGGGATTAATCGTTGTTTAGGCGGCCGTCCGCGCGGCATATTCTGTGCGTGGTCGTGGTGCTGGAGGGAGGGGCAGGCGGCGGTGGTGGTGCTGATGGAGGGAGCGTGGATGAGGAAGGGGGGGGGGGTGTAGGTGGATTAAATATTTATTTATTATTTATCTCCCCCCCCCCTTTTTTGTTACCCCCCCTCCTTTTTTTACCCCCCCCCCCCCCCCCAAAAAACTGAGAGGGAGAAAATGGCGGTGAATGGGAGACGGGAGGGGGAGGGGAGGGGGGAGGGGCGGAGGCAGCGGGCGCCGGCGGTGCCCGGATGTTGGCGCCCCCCCGGTGCTCCGACTCCGCCCCCTCCCCTCCCACGTGACGCCAGGAGGAGGAGGAGGGGGGGCTCATCTCTAAGACGCACGTGTTGTTTTAATAAGATGAACGAACGGACGGTGTTAATTTGTATCGCCTCTAAAGAAAGAATCTGCCTAACATGTTTTTGTTGCACGACTCTCCCATCATCGCTTGCTGCAAGTGGTTAGTTGCGTTGTTTTTTGAGCAGCATTGATTCCCTGCGAGCAAACTTTGAACCGGTTTAGACCACGCATTGGCTCGTCAAAGTTACGCACTCCGAGAAGGCTTGCGTGGCTGATGGGAATTTGTAAACAACTCTTTATTACATTGATGCAGGTGGCCAGACGTGATTGAGACGTGTTGTCTGCCAATTTTGATATTTATCTCCACAACGACACTAATAGTGTGTTTAGGTGTATGTGGCCAAGGTTGGCGTTCATCCAACAGGGAATCGATCATGGCTCATGATTAGAATGGCTAGCTGAGATTTCAGGATTTGAATCCGGTTCTCGGCCACTGGTGGTGACCATTGGTTGTCGCGTGGAGTGATTGTGGTGATGGCTTCAGAATCAACATCTGTATTTGTCCTGGAGAAATCCGATGAGCCATGAAGCTCTTTATTCACAGATGTCCAGTAGGGTGCGGGTCTGATAGTTACAACAAGTTTCAGGCCAGACACCAATAACAGAGACCCAAAGATCTGCATAGAAACCCAGATGACACGTTAAGTGATTAAACCCGGACCTCAAGTGCAATGGGATTGAAGGCTCAGCCCGATCACCAGTGACTGCACACAAACACTCGTGTTAAAATTGGCTTCCTGCTGAATTTGGTGAACTTACAACTCCGGTTTAATAAAGACATTCTAATTCCATATTTAAAACGTACGTTAGGGGCCGTCCATAAATGACGTCACGCACCTAGGGGGGGGGGTCAGACATTTGTGACGATGTGTGACGATGGGGGGGGGGGGTTGAGAAATGTGGCGTCACATCAAAATGCGCAACTCTAAATATAGACAACACAATTAGATAGACTTTTTAATACATGTTTCCTACAACATCAGAGTGCAGCGCCACATTAAATATGCACTACAATGACGATAGTTTAAAGCGATGTGAAGCATGTTTTATTTGGGGGGGGGGGGGCGCAGAGCTTTGTGACGTCATTTGAGGGGGTGTCTGACTTTTTGTGACGCAGTGTGACGACGGGAGGGGGGGGGGTTAAACATCGTGTGACGTCATTTATGGACGGCCCCTTAATACATGATACTGTCCATAACACTAACCGCTCCATGTAAACAATATTGCTTTTTCTGCTTTGTAACATTTATGTAAGGAAGTGCGCCACCTAATGTTAATGACAAACGCTCATGATATGTTATAGAGCTTAATGGGCATAGAACTATACTGTATTGCATACCTCCTCCATCTCTTCACGTAAACATGACATGCTTTAGCCTTAGATTATGGGGCTTCTAGACCAATATCTTTTTTTATTTAAATATTTCACCTGGATAATCCCTCGAGATGGAACATCTCGTTCGCAAAGCTGTCCAGGGTGTCAATTGTCACATTTATCGCAAACGCATTGACACAAATATAAACATTTTAAATCTACTATACAGGGTGGCCCAAACGTCAGGATGTATAGTGTTATATTTATTTTAACAAATCACATCAGGCTGTTTAATTTATTTTAACAAATGTTCAAACTGACTACAATTAACAGGAATGCATGCCGGACTTCTCTTTTGAGATGCATTTATGCCTTTTTAACATTACAGCTGCCTTTAGCATACATGAAAACGAATTAAACTCGTTCGTCTTTAGTTAATTTACTTTCCATTTTTAAACTCTGCACCTATTTCGACCTTCAACGTCTACAAGAATATGTCTCCATCGGAGTATCAGGCGCAATAAATATTGCCAAGTCGACAGCTTTCTTTGGCAACAGATCCCTTGAAGGGTCCCTTGAAGGGTTCCTTGAAGGGTTCCTTGAAGCGGTTCTGATGGCTTCTTCCCCAGACCACTTTCCAACATGGGGTGGTCCACTGGTGTCTGCAAATTTTCTGACTTTGACAAGTTCTGGTGACACGATGCACGTAGCATAATAGGAACAAATAAAACGTAAGGGAAGGTTCCCCCATGTGTCAAGACAAATTGCACTTAAGGTGCTTTGTAATTAGGGTTAGGGTTGCAAGTCTATTATTATACTGATATGAGTGATCAAATACAATCAAAGGTCACGAGAACCCTGAATCTGTACTTGGGAAGATGTGGAGGAGGGGTTTTTTTTTCCCGAGGGCTATGTATGTCAAGAAGTGCCTATGGTGTCTCTTTATGTGTCTCATTGCGTCTGTTTCATTGACTGAAACTCTATTTCCATCCCTGTATCTTACTCTGAGAACGTCTTTCCGTATCTACGTCTCTTCAGCTGTGTCTTTGTGTCAGTCTCTGTCTGACTCTCAATATCCTTGTTGATTTATGTCTGTCTTACTGTATTGGACAATATATGTGTCCTTGTCTCTTTTTGTTGATGTCTTTCTATGTGTCTGTGTATTATTTTTCATGCCTTTTTATATTTGCCTCACTCTGTGTATTCCTATGTGTCTGACTATGCCTATCTCGGTGTCTCTGTATCTCCATGTTTATCTCTGTTTCTTGGTATATGCCTGCCTGTGTCTATGCATAGATCAGATATAACTGTGCCTCTGTGTCTCTATATCATTATGTATCTCCATATATCATGGTGTCTGTCTTTCAATGTGTCTCTTTGTCGCTCTGTATGGCTTTCTCTGCTTTTGTTTCACTGTGTGTCGATGTCTGTTGAATAATGAGTGTCAGTCAAGAGTCATCTAATTGGTTTGTGATGAGAGTTTTGTCGAGTGGTCGCAGCTTCGCAAAGCGGTCTGGGTATTTCCAAGATGGCAGTGGATAATGTGTCATGTGCTGTGGAACAGCAGCGCTTAATAAAGTGTCTGGTGGAGAAAAATGTCCAAACAGCTGACATTTTACAGGTTAGCTATACAGTTCGGTGATACACGTCTTGTGCAAAAGTGTGTTTGAGTGGGGCGAGAGGTTTAAGAATAGACATGAGTGGGCAAAATGTGATGGGAATGTGAGAGCATACATCCTAAAATGGCTGCATACATGTGTTGTGCAGTACAACCACGCGGAGATGAGGAATACTATAAGGGCCGTTTCCGTTGATTAAAACACTCTCACACTCGGCATCCTACACTCAGACCAGTGTAGGTGAACTCTAGCTCGGTCCTTCATCCGGACACTGAATACTATTTGGACCCTACCCTCGACTATCCCTTTGGCTCACTCGTCTGCCCGGAGCGGGGGATCAGCCAACACCGCTCCGCGATGAGGAGAGAGACCCTCTTTCCAGCCGGTCCTTACCCAGGCTCCCAACGACGACCTCGCCTCTGTCATGGGGTCCCCCTTAAGAACCCTTGGACGGCTCCTCCCCCCAGCTCGGCCCCACCCACGTTCCCGAAAGTGCTTTCCGAAAGCCCCTTGCGTAACCCGTGACGTTGACATTACGTCATCTTTGACTCTCAACCCGCTCGCACCTCATTGGTTGCTCACAATACTCCTCTACACCTGTCCTGAACACTCCTCTTGCTTCTGACATTAATGGCTTACAACACCAATGGGGCAGATGTCTATATGTTATATGTTCCAGGGGGATACCTTGAAAAATAGGGTACGTTTCATTTGCTTCACTCTCACATTTTCTCCAACTAAAAGTGCAGGTTTACCTTCAATAACCCAAGTAATACTAATACTGTTTTGTATTTAACAAGGAAAACCCAAACCTGATTCTCAAGATATTTTCAGAAGGGTATTGCATTAGCATGTTTATGCAAATCCCTTTTAATGTACGTTTTAATGTGGGAGGAAATCAGAGTACGTTTAAACAAAATCCATGTACACCGATGAAAAATGTTCAATGGACCGTACGAGCACACATTCTCACCAACCCACTTGACGTGCCACCTCTTGGCAACCTCGCAACCTGGTGGGTTTGGGAGCTTAACAAAATCTACACCATCCACAAATCCCCGTCTCTAAAATGTTGTATTACAAGCCCCAACACCCACCTATATGTCTCTGTTAATTTATATATGCCTGTGTCTGGCTCTTTGGGTCCATGTCTGATTCTTTGAG